TGGCCCCCGGCCTCTTGAGTGAGATGGGCGCACAACCCTAGAGTCTGTCAAGACTGGCCCGTACGGGCAGGGGTACCTTTACCTTTATAGCATGGCATAAAGCAGAGCTTTCAAAACTTTTCATGTTGGTGACACATTTTTTAGACATGCATCATTTTGCGACACAATTATTTAGTTTTACTAGCAAACCGGAGGTTACAATGACTCCTTTCCAGCCCTGGGAGAAGCGCGGGAGCATTTGTGTGACATAGCTACACACTGCAGCTGACACAGTTTGGAAAGCTCTGACATAAAGTCTGTGACTGGGTCCTAAAGGGCTACACATGCTGTTCTGCATTTGCACTGGGGCATTTCCACCTCCTCTTCCTATTTCTATTTGTATGTTACTTTTTGACAAAATGGTGCCCAAATGGTGCCAAATTGGCTCACAGCACATCAGATGAACAGTAAGGTTTTAAAAAATTAAAATTTCCACTCCCTTCCCACATAGCCTCTTTAGGATTTAGTCCCCCTGCCCCGCTGCACAACTGCCCAGTCCAAATCAAGTCCCTGTGACTGCTTGGGGGGCAGGGGAGATGATACGACACAATGCAGTCATAGATCTCCCTGGTGACTCCCATGTAGTTTGAACCTTAGTACCAGATGTCAGGAGCAAACTTTTCTTGGCCTGTTTGTTAGCAAATAAGCACCTCTTTGTCCTCTTTTTTTTGGCAATGCATAAGTGGTCTTCCTATTCTGTTCAAAGCCTTTACAGCAGGCATGGGGAACGTATGACCCTTCAGATGGTGAACTTTAATTCCCTGCATCCCTGACTATTGGCCATGCTTGTTGTAGTTAGGGCATATATGGTAAACCCTCGTAGCTGCAATTTAGATAGGTAGTTATGTAGGCAGGTGGATAGTTCATTGCCCATTGTTCAGGACAAGAGGAGTAACGATCTGAAGTAGTCATGGTTAAATAGCTGTTAGAAGGGGTGGGGGGGCCCTGCTGGTGCTTTAAGGAGAACAAGAAACCATTTTTATTTACGTAAGGAGGCTTCTTTGTAAGGCAAAGCAATCCTTTTGATCTCATTAATCCATAAAGCAATATTGCTTGTGAGTTCTGAAAAGATATTCAAAGAAAAAAAGGGGAAAGTGTCTAAAAGGTGTGTGGGAGAGAAAGAACTCTCTCAAAAGACAGCAATTGATTCTCAGACAACAATGAATTTCACAGCTGAGCTGAAAATAACCAATTTCTAGAACAGTCAATAGATAATACCAGGCTCCCAAAAGTATTTGAGCAAATAGGTCTGTTTGCTCAAATGCCTTTATTCTCAAACACCTCCATTTTCAGATAGTATTATTCGGTTTTTCTACTTGACTATGAATTTTGGAGAGCATTTGAGAAATAGCTACTGTGCAGACGTGTAGAAGCCCTCATCCTCATCATCTCTTATGATTGTGCGTTCTGATATTTGCTTTCCCATTGAGTAAAGAAAATAATTTCTTAGAACTGTCAGTCCTGCTAGGACACAAAGTAGACAAGTATCTGCAAATAATAATAATAATAATAATAATAATAATAATAATAATAATAATAATAATAATAATTTATTTATATCCCACCCATCTGGCTGAGTTTCCCCAGCCACTCTGGGCGGCTTCCAATTGAGTGTTAAAAACAATACAGCATACATTGCAGGACATAGGAAGCTGCCTTAGACCACTGGCCTATTCTAGCTCAATATTGTCTACACTGACTGGCAGCTGTCATCCAGAGTTTCAGCCAGGATTCTGCTCCCCTCCCCCAACTGGAGATGCCAGGGATGAACTTGGGACCTTCTGCATGCCAAACATGGGCTCTGTAACCAAAAGTGTGACCCTTCTCCATTTTAGTGCAACAAACAAGTCCTGCTTCTGAAAGGTCTACTTGTAGGTAAACTTTGCTTACCTCCAGTCAGAAAACGACATTAGGCAATGAGTATTTAACTGTGCCTTGATCAGACATTCTCAGGAACATTCTCCTACTTCACATCATCAAACAGAAAAACATTGACACTGAAAAATGATCAAGCTATCCTTGTAGGGTATGGATTGTAAGCTATCCCGTTCCACTTGCATTGGTGGCATCCCAGAATAATACATTGGGAGGTGTCAGCAGTGATTGGCAGGGAGCACAGGCAGCACAGTATCACACACCTGATTTCCTGACACCATTTTTTTGAAGAAGAAGATGGGTGAAACATGGGGAGCATGCACAATGACAGCCCATTCAATGCTGCAGCCACAATGGCCACACTGCACTGATTTTGGTCATTCTCCTCTGCACACGTTCCAGCTTGTCAGTATCCTTCTTAAACTGTGGTGCCCAGAACTGGCCACAGGACTGCAGGTGGGGTCTGACCAAGGAAGACTAGAGCAGTACTATTATTTTCATTGATCTAGACACTATACCTCTGTTGATGCAGTGTAAAATAGCATCAACTTTTTTGCTGCTGCATTGCACTGCTGATTCATGCTAAGCTTATGGTCTACTAAGACCATCCTTTTCACATGTATTATTGCCAAGTTGGGCGTCACCGATCCTATATTTGTGCATCTGGTTATTCCTGCCTAAGTGTAGAACCTTACATTTGTCCCTACATTTTGTTAGTTTTGCTCCAGTTCTCCAATCTGTTAAGGTCATATTGAATCCTGATTCTATGTCTTGAGGTATTACCTACCTAAATTTGATAGGAAGGTCCACCTCAGTTCCTTCATCCAAGTCATTTGCAAGGATATTGAACAACACCAGGCCCAGAACAGAACCATGCAGCACCCCACTTGTCACTTTTTTCCAGGATGTCAAGGAACCATTTGTGAGCACGCTTCGGGTTCACTGTTTCAAGAGTCACTTCTGGCTCTCCTCTTGCTATCAGCCCCTTACAGAGGATTTACCCAGAAGCACAATGGCTGCTAGCCATGATAGTTATGTTCAACACCCACTGTTAGATGTGGTATGCCTCTGAATACTTGTTGCTGGAAACTGCAGGAGGGGAGAGTGCTATTGTGCTTGGATCCTGCAGGCTTCCCATAGGCATCTGGTCAGCCACTATGAGAACAAGATGATGGACTAAGGTGGGCCATTGGTCTGATTCAGCAGTCTCATTGTATGTTCGGAATAGGTCTCAAATTGTCATAGTTTTTCATACCTCAAAAAGCTTTCACTCCTTCTCAGCACTAACAAGGAAAAGAGGCGTTTGCCACACTAGATGGGCATCACTTACCGGTAACACAGTAACCAGAATATTAAACAGTGACCTGCCTGTCACTCAGAAAACCACAGATTGACTCAAAAGCTCCTTGATTTTTTTCCCCAGGATCTTCAATGGCATTTGCTGGGGAAGAAATATTACCTTTTTGCTATTCATTTCTAATTTCCTTTATTAGATGGAACCTTGACAAAAAAAAATATACCTCCCAAAAGGCAAACATGTTCGGCCAGTCATCAAGGAACTGAAAGCGCATCCTCTATTTACCCCTGTATCTGCTAAGATCCTCACAGCCCCACCTTGTTAGACCATGTCAAACAAGCTGGGAAAATAGACAGAACCTCCTGCTATATAAGCCTCTGAGAGTGCAAGTGAACTAGTCCTTCTGGCCAGAAGCGGGCTGAGTACCTTAACACCGAACTCCATCCAGTATGGGGTTTGGTAGAGGGATGAGAGTGCCATTATGGGCCCTAGCATTCATGATCTGCAGCATCCAACAAAAAGGTAAAAACTCATTTCCTTTGCTTCTTTTACAAGAAAAAAAAGTACCAATGCAATTGAATATCTCAATTCACTTTCAAAATTATTCCTCATTCTATTTTGTGAGTCATGCAAATGTTTGAATTTCAAAGAGTTTCTCACCCTTTTAATACTGTTTCAGTTAAATGTTTAACAATTCCGAATAAACTGGGGTATTTTAATATTGTACTGCCTGAAGCGAAAACATTTAGTGACATCTTAATGGGGATTGAATGGGGATCAAATAGAAAAGTACGATTTGCGCATCTCCTTGAAAAGTTATAAAGTATGAAATGCATGTTTCCTGGTTAGAAGTCTGTCAGAATACTAACATACTAACATTTTAAAGTTGCATATTACTGTATTCACTTGAATCTAATGCTCACCTTTTTGGGCCAAATTATGCTGTGAAAGTGAGGGTGTGCATTAGATTTGATGGCACATTTACAATCGACAGCAAATACTTTTTTTGGTTTCAAGGTTCTGAAAATTGAGTGTGCATTAGATTCGATGGTGCATTAGACTCTAGTAAATACGGTAGTATGTACAGCAGCTAAACTCCAAAGAAGATAGACAAAGAGGGGGACATCACTTTGCATTATCGCTCTACAGCCTTGTTCATATGAATGTATCTGATGTGTAAATTCTAGTGTGTGTATGTGTTATTTTTCAACGAAGTAGCTCCCAAATGCAAAATCCAAATGTTACCACCCCAGAAAAAAGCACTGAGGTGATCCCTAATTTACAAACAAGTCTGGGAGTTGCTTACTGAAGACCCACAAGTCTTCAGGCCTGAGCTTATCTTTTAATCAGGTCCCTCATTCTGTTTCATGAACTACATTGGCTAAGAGGCAGGACAGAAAAGGCACAAAAATTCCCTCTATACAGGGCAGCAGGGGAGAAGAATTAAAACCCTTGCTTAGTCCCAAATGTTATCGGTCGCATTGTATGATAAAGGGTACTAGAGTCTCATTTGAATCAGGAAGCATTACTGATGCCATGTGAATTGCATCCTGGGATGTGGTTGATTGGTACAGTTCCTTACTAGGATTTAAGCCAAAACCTGTATTCAGTGCCAAAGTTCAGCACTGGAAAATGTGAAATAGAAATGAAGAAGAAATGAGAAATGGTGTTGAGTCTCAACCAACCCAGCTGACATAAATGAGGGGTAAGGCTTTTTCAGGGCAGGTGTGAGATTTCTAGGCAGGGATTAACATTTTAGGTCATCATCACTACCATCATCATCATCCAAGAGCATTATTTTGGAAGCAGATTCCATTAAAATCAATAGCGCTTGCTATCAATAGGACTTGAGTGCTGGGTATTTAGAGGTCTTGTGCCAGGTTCACTCCTCTTATCACAGTACAATTTTCCATTTACCTTCAATGAGGGACTCTTTCTTTGGATTTTTATCTATGTTTGTCTAATTTTATACCATCAATTAAGCCCCCACAGATATCTGTGAGATGTATAGCAAACTATCTTTAGTTAGATTGTGACCCAAACCTTCCATCTGAAGACACTGAAGGCAGGCCCAGCAACAGCAATCGGCCAGATCAGGCATTCCTCGTTGGCCAAACCCAAACCATTAATTGTGTCCTCTGCTGGACTCTTGGAAGTTTTAGAGCAGTGGGTGGCAATGTATCTAATGATACCTGTTGCAGTAACATCCTCCAGAGCCAAGATGTGTCAGAGCCCATCAATATTTTGGATGATAAAGATTTGAAAGATTGATTAACTTTGGCAGGATTGTGCCCATTCACGATATCTGTTAGTTTGATATACAAACTAAAAGGAAAATGCATATTTATAATTTCAATGAAATTGAGAACCACTGTCAGCAGCTGGTATAGTTAGAGTATCCACCAATCTCAGTCATGCATATTCTACACTTCGTGGTGAGTGTGCTCTTATAAGAGTTTCACACACTGCTTTTCGATTGCCAACTTTTGGATTGCTATCTTCCACCATGGGCTTTCTGCACACTGGTGCAAAAGCACAATCATAGCATTTACCAGGCCCTGAAAGCTGAGATTATGGCTTTAATTGTTTAAAGAATGCACACAAATGAACATACATACAAATTATGGTTTTTCTGTTCCCTTTGTTTGTAGCTTCTAGTGCAGAAGGTGAATCCGGAAAGGTTACCATCATCCCACCATTGACAACAACACCAGTTATAACATGTAAGTCTACCCATAAACTGTCTCAGTTATTTCCTTGTATCTATCAGATATACTCATAAGAAAGGCAAAATGGATAAGGTAAAGAAACAGATGAATAGATGGGTAGATGATTCAACAGGTAAGTAACAGAACAAACATCTTGGCAAATTTGAAAAAAAGCAATGCATTCTCTTTCTATGCAGGGCCCTCCCTGGGACTGTACTCCTGGCACCCCTCTTATGGGTTTTTGGTGCCAAGTAAAAATGGTTTTATTTACTCAGGTATTTTATTGTGGCATATTGCAGGAAGCGAGGGCGTTTGCTGCTGCTTTTAAATTTCAGATTTTATCTGCGCTGTTTTATTTGTTGCAGTGCTGTTTTTACTCTTCTTATTGCTTTTATCTTGGCTTTATTACTTGCTCATTTTGTTTAGTTTTATCTTTATTTTTATCTCTCCTATCAAATTACTAAACAAAGAGAAAGAAGCAGAGAGGTTATAAAAGCGAGTTAAGCTGCTGGACATATAACACATGGACGCTGCAGTTCTTTACTTATGTACTGGGGAGCAGGGACTGTAGAACTCAATGGGACTTACTTCTGATCTGTATAGGACTGCACTGTAAACAACCTTAAATAAAGCCCAGCCAAGGATGTTCCACTTTGTGCAAGTGCAGGCACCCAGGGAGGCTGCACAATGCAGACCACCATAGAGATGATATGAAGAATGAAAGGATGCTCCCAAACACTCCTTGGCCACCTCAGAAGTAAAGAAAGTGCATGCAATTTATTTTCTCATTAATTTGTAGAGAATGGTTAATATATATATTTTTAAGTAGGTCTATTATTTCCCGATCTAGTATATATCTGCAGATATTTGCTCACCCCTAAAGAAAGGTAGAAATAAAGGGATATGCCTCACACTTCCTTGTGACCTTTTAAGGATTTCCATCTAGAGCAAAGAGATAACTGAAATCTAAACTATTTACTTTCCTTCTATGCTGTCACGGTGTCAGCACTTACTTATTTCTCATTGTAATGAGATTACAAAATTCCTGCCCAGGTTTTGGCAGGGGGTTTAAGGGGATGAAGGTGACAGTCTTTGTGCCAGTTATGAAAGGTCAAGGCAATGACTATATGGAGAGAGGTTGAGTATACACTATTTTCTTCCCAGCTCTGGAGATCTTTTACACCTTTGTAGATTTTTCACAGTAAAATCCCTTCTCCCCTTCACAGGTTTTAGTTCCCTTTGAGTGCTAAATAACGTATTGCACAGTGTTTGATCTTCTGTTCTCTAATTTAAACTTATTTTGTACTCAGTGTATATCCTGCAGTGAAATCTGATTCCAGTTGTGGGTAACAAAAGGGCACAGGGCTTTTCCTGCTTCTGTTGAGCATGCTCTGTTGCACTTTAGTAATAAATCCTGCCATAACTCTAGTTTATGTTGAACAACAGAATAACTTAAAGGATTATGTGTCTTCCTCTGATCCCCTACTCAGCCTGGTTGGGGAACCTGTGACGCACCAGATGTTGCTGAACTCCCGAGTCCCATCATCTCCGACCACTGGATGTGCAGGCTAGGAGTGATGAGAGTTTGAGTCCAACAACATCTGGAGGGCCACAGCTTCTCCACTCCAGCCTAAGGGAAAGCTGGCATCAGCATCAACTTACTTCTGAGCTGAGCACATAAAGTGGCAAAAGAAGTAACAGTGTCTACCCAGGGCAAATGCAGGCAAGGAACAAAAGCCTGTTTGTAATGGGCGATAAGCTAGTAATGTCACTATGTAAGCTGGCATAGAAAATGAAGAAATGAAGATGTTGTTAGCAAAAAGTGTGCAGTATACCTTTACAACCTTTTGTGAATTTGCAGCCTTCAACTCAGCTCACAATGGGCAAGTCTGCAGCACGTGGGGCCAATTCCACTACAAGACGTTTGATGGGGACATCTATTATTTCCCTGGGACCTGCAACTATGTCTTTGCCTCCCATTGCAACGCTGCCTATGAGGACTTCAACATCCAGATCAGGCGCACAATGGTGAAAGACATTCCCACTATCAGTTCTGTCACCATGCGGTTGGATGGGACGGATTTTGAAATGCAAAAAGATGCCATTGTTGTGAATGGTGAAAGGTAATAACACAGACTTGTGTCCTGAGCAGGCCTACTTCCTCAAATAGACTCCTTAATAGGCAGATAGAGCTCAGTCCTACCATGATCTAAGAACCAATAACCATGAAAGGTCCATGGTAGCCACTTCTAATCTGGGTGTCAGTGTCCAGCCAGTGGTGTGCAGTGACTACCATGTTCAGTATCAATCTGTGGTCCAACACCCAGAAATCCCCATGCTGAAGCACACTGAGAAATACGTTAATGAAGCCATTAAAGGCTATCGAAAGCCCAAAATTCCCAACCACAGAGGAGGCTGCTTGTGGCCTCCAGTAGGCTTTGCTGCTGTGGTCACCATAGCCACATGCCCTTCTAATTTGTCTTGGGTGGGCATGAGTAATTCTGCAGTAAGTTCTGTAACGGGATAGTTCAATCACTCATGATGGCAATTTGTCAGTTATACACCCTCAAGAAAAGCCACATGTCACTTTGCTTTGAATTACATATCCAGTATCTCTGATGCTTTCTCATCAGGGTTCAGCTGCCTTACACTGGATCAGGATTCGTTATTGAGAAATTTACCATCTATGTGAGAGTGATAGTCAAGCTGGGCCTAACCTTACTGTGGAATGAAAAGGACAGTCTAATGGTAAGTGCTACATAATATAGAGAATTGACAAGTGTGACCCCAGCAGAATGTGGCAGTGTAGAATGTTCCTGTTCAGTATCCCAGCCTGCCAGCCAGCCATGCCTTCCTTCACAATACCCAATTCCACTCTCCCTTCCTGCTGCTTTCCTATTTCCCCACCAGCACCAGAAACTAAAATTCTGTCACCACTGAGCATGCTCAGTCTTCACAGGGTTGTTTGGGGGCAGGGATCACCCCTTTAGATCCCCCGTAATATTTTTCTACTTCTGCAAGACTTGGATTTCCCATGAAGCATGCTGATACCTCCCTTGTATTTTTCACTAGCCTTGTTCTGGCTTCATCATAATCATCATAACCCAGCAGCTGAGTTTACTTTTTGTATGTATGATGTCACCTGAACATTACAGATAAAATCATGATACCACAAGGCAGTTTGTTGTATAGGGTCTTTGCAATATGCTCTTATGTCGACTCATGCAAGTTAACATCACAGATTTTCAGTAACTGGTGAAAAGAAACCACCCAAATAATTGCTTTTAAGTACAGATTGGGCTTTGATATGCACAAGGCTCTTTGGGGTATTCAGCCTGCCTGCCTGCCTCCCTCCCTCCCCACCCTCTCTCACACACATACATACCTAACATCCTGTTCTGTTCATAATAAGCGCTTAGTAAAAGGTAAAGGACCCCTGACAGTTAAGTCCAGTCGCGAATGACTCTGGGGTTGCAGCACTCATCTTGCTTTACTGGCTGAGAGACCCGACATTTGTCCACAGACAGTTTTTCTGGGTCATGTGACCAGCATGACTAAGCCGCTTCTGGTGAAACCAGAGCAGCGCACGGAAACGCCATTTACCTTTCCGCTGGAGCGATACCTATTTATCTACTTGCACTTTGATGTGCTTTCGAACTGCTAGGTTGGCAGGAGCTGGGACCGAACAATGGGAGCTCACCCCATCACGGGGATTCGAACCACTAACCTTCCGATCAGCAAGCCCTAGGCTCAGAGGTTTAGACCACAGTGACACCTGCATCCCCTTACTTACTTACTTCTCTTACAAATCTTATTTGCAGTCAGTATCTAACTGCAGAAATCAACCAAGATATGTTTCCACTTGACATTTTATCTCTATTTTCAAAGAGATGAAAACACGTTTGGATTACACATTTAGCATATTCACATTTTTGCAGGAGGTGCCACCTGTTGCTTCAATTTTTCATTTTCTAGTAAAATTTCTCTTTTATAGGCCCTAACCTTATCTATAGATTGCAGAGCAGGGAATCCCATTCAAAGAACAGAAAGCATAAGTGGAGAAGAGTCAGCTGCTTTTATATATATACTGTAAATATTACAATGAAAACTAGGTTGTTATGAATAGCACAGACTGGCTGAGACTCAAAAATGATACCCCAATTTTCTATTCACTAAATTTGAATTGCAACATTGATGGAAGTTATCTTGGTGTCTCCAGTGCAGCTGCTGTCTTGAATTTTCAATCTATATCATGGAGAGTAATATTAACTTTCATCAACTTTCTCCTATATAATTTCAGCTGGAACTTGATAAAAAATATGCCAATCAGACCTGTGGACTTTGTGGGGATTTTAATGGCATTCCACAATACAATGAGTTCTTTTCAAACGGTAAGTATCAAAAACACTGCTTATTGAAACTGGGTATCAACTATTTATATGTCATGATTCATTGAGTGCTGTGGAACTACAATCTCTTCAGAGGTTTGGCTTTTCATCCATTTCAAAACATTTTAAGTGGTATAAGCAGTGCTTTGGGGGGCGGGGAGGAAAGACGTGCTGGTATTCATATACATATTGATAAAAATGACAGCACAAAATGGCTGTCATTGGCAGGGGGAGGGGGAATGAGGTGCCAGTAGTCTGTTCTAGTGAGCACCCATCATAAGAAAAAGCCCCGAGGATAAAAACCTGGTGGATTTGTCTGATATCTGTCATTCTTCACTTTTAAAATCAACAACACACATTGAATATTTAGATATTAGGTGAATTTCACTTTTCATGCTCATCAAAATAGATTTTCAGCATATGGATGATATTGATAGCATTAAGTAAATGAATTAGTGATTGGAAAAACATTTCTATTTCTGAGGTTCTAAACCAAGGCCACCATAGTGCCCTCAGACACAAGCTGCAGTGCATAAGACCCTTTGCTCTTCCCGATGTTTTATCCTTTTAATTAAAAAAACATGATGACATTTTGTTGTTGAGCGGAACAGTTGCTTGGTTTTTCTGTCTGTGATAATTTGTTTGAGTGGGGTGTAGATAGTTTGCTTGTTTTGATAGATGGTTCAGCATTGCTGCTTTAACTTCTGAAAAATGAGTACTCTTGTTTCTCCTTGGCTTGTTTTTGCTGCAATCATACTTACCTACTGAGATTGCTGTTAGGGGGAATGTTGGCCAATGGTGTTTTTACGTCAATAGAGAAGATGTACTGGAGCTTGTACATAGTCAAAAGGCCCTTTGAAAGTTACTGTTGCTACAGGGGAGCTGCTTTTCTCCCAGCCTCAGTAAACAGCAATTGGGGTTTGGAGGGGGGGCACACACACAACCTCTCTGTGGAATTGACAGTCCTCCTGGAAAGGTAGCAAATCTGAAGTTGGGACCCTCACTCACATAGTTGGTTGTTTAAACATTGCCTTGGTCACACAGGAGCTACCCATGGAGAAGCGACTTCCACGCAACTAGGGTTCAGAATCATGTGCTGTTCCCATACAGTCAATAGCTCTTTCCCCATTGAAACAGGAGTGTGCTTCAGCCCATGCTGGCCCTTTTCTATCCCACTGGCTGACAGAGAGCCATGTGATCTGTACAGTTCTCCCAGCTGGTGCTCTGAAGGGTTGTCCCAGCGGGGGGAAGCATCTGGTTTTCCACAAGGTATTTACTGCACATCCCATTGTGCTATAATGCTTTACTAAGAGTAGGGGAATCCCTCTCAGCATCTCATTTGCCAAACTGGAACGACAACCTCAATGTAAGATACTTTCTCATATGAATCTTTTTGAAGTAATGGGTTGCTGTTTTTCATTACAGGGGCCGAAATAACTACTTTGCAGTTTGGGAATATGCAGAAAATGAATGGGCCGACAGAAGAATGTGAGGATCCTACGCCGGTCTCTCTGAGCAACTGCACTGATGAATTTGTAAGATTTTTTTTTGCTTATTCTTACACTTTACATTTGTTTTATTTCCAAAAGGATGCTTAAATCTTAAGGAAGAATTGTAATGGCAGAGAAAATATATTGTTGTTTCCTCAGCTCCTGAAATTAACATTATAAGCTCCTTATAACCTGATTTCTTTTCCTTGTATTTATGGCATTTTACAAAGTGCCCTGTGTACTAAATATGTCATTGTCATCTAAGACAGGAATGGGTAAACTTGTCATTCTTCACATGTAGCTGGACTCTCCAGAATGGCCACTGATGAGAAACATTGAGAGCTGGAGCCTGACGACATCTGGAAGGCCACAGATTCCTCATCCCTAATCTAGGATCAGTTAATCACCATTAAAAACAGTCCTTCTTGATAAAAACTTTTTGCTTTTGCTTTTCCATCTAGGAGCTTTGCCAGCATGTACTGACTGGCTCTTCATTCTTTCAATGCAATGCTGTGGTGGGAGTTAATGACTACATTGAGTCTTGTGTACAAGACCTGTGCCTCTGTAAACAAGAAGATATCACCTCCTGTCTCTGCGACACTTTTGCTGAATATTCCCGGCAATGTGCTCATGCTGGTGGGGAACCTCAGAACTGGAGAAGCCCAGACCTGTGCCGTAAGTGTAAATCACAGCTGGTCAATTATTTCAGCTGGACATTTGATACAGCTTGACATGATATTCAGCAATTACTCTGGTGAACTGGAAATTAGAAGGTACAACCCAAAGTAGAGTACACACAAAGTTGCATGCTTATAAAGGTATTAATTAATTAATTGAATTTGTATACTGCCCTATACCCGCAGGTCTCAGGATGAGCACCTGACTAGTGGATGAGCACCAGGCTGTAAGAAGCTGAAGTGTTTCATAGATCCCTATATTGAGTTTGTCCTGCTTATGAATGACTTGCATAAGTGGTGGGAGATAGAGAGATACCTCTAACTTGCAGGTGATACATAGCTGAGAGAAACTGGAAAAGAAGCAATCTAGAGGACATTGTGACAGCTAGGAGTTATTTGAACGTATCAGAACACTGTGTTTTCAGCAATCAAATGATAAATGCAACTAATTTAGAAGTTTAGATGTTCATCTGCTCATCAACTCTGCTGTTTTGGGCAATGGCGAGTCTGGGAGGTATGATCTGCAGCGCATAGAGGAATGAAGTCATCAGAGATGCCCCAGCTTATATTGCTCCTGCTTTTGAGAGGACCTTTTCCCCACAGTCTTACCACTTGAGTAATAAACTATGAAAGGAGAAAAAGTCCATCAGGCAGATTTGTTCAGAAGGAGATATTAATAAAATGTAACTAATGTCTATTAACCAAATGGTAAATACCATCTAGGCCACCAGGGCCCACAAAAAAGTGGAGGCACATATACCACTGAGCAAATGGCAAGCCACAATACATGCCTGGTTGGTCACATGATGTGCAGGGCCACTCCATTTTGGCTGGAGGGTCAGATCCAACAGTGGCTAACCCTCTGAGAGGGCCGCTTGGACAGGTCGATGGGGCCTGAATTTCCAGCTGTGGCCTGAATTCCAAAAGTGCAGAATGGCTTCAATTAAAGAATCAGGACCACACTCTTAAGTCTACTTCTGATTCTTCCTTCTGGCACCTTTTGCATTTGATACTTTTTTCTGTCACCTTGCGGGGCAGCAGAAAAGGGCACCAAATTCAAAAAGTGTCAGATTCAAGCCACAGCTTGAAGCTTCCCACACCTAAGACCATATGAAACCAGGCACAGGGGAGCTGGCCAGATTCAGAAGTCAGGTGGGCTGGTGGTTCTCCACCACTGCTCTAGCATAATGAAAAAAATCATAGGAATTATAATAGACCCCAGTCAAAACATTCATCAGTTGTGGTATGTGGCTACAAAAGAAAGCAGGTGCCATTTGGAGTTGCAGCAGAAAAGCATTAAATGCAACACACAGAAGGCAGGTCTCTGTTCAAGGCAGAATCACTATAAGGAATTGTTTATTAGCTGAGTGTGCTGCGTGTATCAAAGGGTAACTGAGTTATAATTAATATCCTTCTTTTCAGCAATGGAATGCTCTTCCAACATGCAGTATCAAGAATGTGAATCACCCTGTACAGACACTTGCTCCAACTCTGAAAGATCTCAGCTGTGTGAGGACCACTGTGTGGATGGTTGCTTCTGTCCACCAGGTAAACTTCCACCTTTGTATCCAACTGTTGTAGCCCTTTACATACTTGCTCAGTAGTAAGCGCCACAGATCTTAATGGGGCACTCACCTCATGGTATTCAAGGTGCAAGCAAGGAAATCTACAAAAAAGGCATGTTGTTTTTAGGAAAAGAGATTGTACAATTATAATTTGTGTCAGGGAAGCTGTGCATGTAACCAACTATCATTTAACATCTTTTAACCATTATAATGTTTAAGTTATTTCTTCCTTTAGGAACTGTATATGATGACATTGACAATGCTGGCTGCATCCCCCACGAGCAGTGTTCCTGTGTTTACAATGGAAAATCCTATGCTCCAGGAACAACTTATTCAGACAACTGCCGTTCTTGGTAATTGACAACCTTTAATATGATGAACAAGTACTTTGTGTAGGAATCTAGGCTTGATCCATGATTTCAACATTTTAAAAGCTCTGCCTAAGTATTTGAATGAGTTATTTCTGAACATGATTCCCAATGAAAGTTCAACAGTATTTGTGATAGATTCCTTACCTTGGCTTCTGCCTAGTGCAGGGGTCGGCAACGTGTGGCCCACGAAGACCATTCTACAGGCCCCTGAGCCGCCCCACCCGCTTAGCAAGACCTTCGCCCACTGCACTAAACCAGCACAGCGTGGTGTGGGGACTCACTGAGCGGCGCCGGAAATCGCATCTGTGCACGTGCAGATACCGGAAATCGCGTCTGCGCATGTCCAGATGCCAAAAAACGCTTCTGTGCAGGCACGATTTCTGGCATCTGGGCATGCGCAGAAGCGATTTCCAGCGCCGCGGACATGCGCAGATGCAATTTCCGGCCCATGGCCGGTAAACCTTGCCAACCCCTGGCCTAGTGGCCACACTCCAGCTTATGTTTCCATGCATGTCACATTAGCCCTGCCCATTAGGCCTCTGCTAGCCATTCTGCTACATAAAAAGGTAAAGGACCCCTGACAGTTAAGTCCAGTTGTGAACGACTCTGGGGTTATGGTGCTCATCTCGCTTTACTGGCTGAGGGAGCCGACGTTTGTCCACAGACAGTTTTTCTGGGTCATATGGCCAGCATGACTAAGCCACTTCTGGTGAAATCAGAGCAGTGCACGGAAACGCAGTTTACCTTCCCACCAGAGCAGTACCTATTTATCTACTTGCACTTTGACGTGCTTTTGAACTGCTAGGTTGGCAGGAGCAGGGACTGAGCATCAGGAGCTCACCCTGTCATGGGGAGTCGAACCGCCGACCTTCCAATCGGCAAGCAAAAGGCTCAGTGGTTTACACCACAGCACCACCCACATCCCATTCTGCTACATACCGAGCTGCTATTTGGGCATGACCAAATGAAGCCAGTCTTTTGTACAACTCAATGGGTCAGGATTACCACTGAGATGGTTTAGTAGTGACTTTTCACATCATTAAGCTAAAATTCTGCAGTAACAATAGGATCCTAGGAAACTGCCTTCTGCCAGATTACACTATTTGTTCATCTTGACTATTGTTATCTACTCTGACTGGCAGGCAGGGATCTTTCCCATTGCATGCTACATCACCCTCTTTACTAGAAATTCCAGGAATTGAATCTGAAACCTTTTGCATGTAAAGTTTGTGCTTCCCACTGAGCTGTGGAGCTCTTCATAGGGAAGAATTCGCCATTGTGCTAAGGCACCTTTGGTGGATTACAACTCCCATCATTCCTAGCTACCAGGACCAGAGGTGATGGGAGTTGTGGTCCAACATCTGGAGACTCAAGTTTGAGAAAGGCAATCATTCCATCAGGGCAAGCATTTTGGTCCTTTCCCTACTTCCACCGCATGCTGTTTCAGGGGTTCTCATGACCCCCCCCCCAACCAAGTTCAGAGGGCACCAGGGGGCGTGGCAGGAGGAGAGGAAGGAAAGTCCTATTGGACAAGCAGTCCTTGTGTGGAGCTTCCTCTGCATTAGATGAGTCCCACCCATCATGTGGGAGCTTTTAAGCTCCCACATGATGACTCTTTAAACACAAAGCTGTGCTGGTTCCTACACTTTACAAATGTTTCCACATACACTTCAAAGAATGGAACTAATAATGGAAAAGAATATAAGCTAATGTCAGTGCAATATCTTTCCTTAAAATGTATGTTTCTTCTCTTTCTTCCTTTACTTCAAGTTCCTGTATTGGGGGCCAATGGAACTGCATAGAACTCCCATGTCCCGGCATTTGCTCAGTAGAAGGTGGATCACACATCTCCACTTTTGATAAAAAACGTTATAATGTCCATGGAGATTGCGTTTACGTTCTCTCAAAGGCAAGTCACTTAAGATATACTGTCACTATAATTAGCAAAAATGTCCCCATTACCACAGTGCTATACAGGCACACAAACACACACTAATCCTCTTTCTGGGATTATAAAACCAGTGTAATTGTTCCAGTAGTAAATCCCTTGCTTTGGATATCATGGCACACAGCTTATTCAGTTTTCCTTTACAATTTTTAAATCCCTCTCACTTCCTTATTGCTTCTACATTATCACACCATTATTTTCCATAAAGCAGTAATGTTTTTTTAGATGTGTAGAAGACACAGACTCAGAAGAAACACCTTTGGGGGAAATTAATAAAGCGGGGGGTGGGGGGTAGAATCTCATTTCAGGAGAATTACATATGATACGACAATGAAACTGAAATAAAGTTGCTCAGGGAGATGCTACACATTCAAATAAAAGGCCCATGAGACAACTAGGAAAGTTTGCTTACATATTTTTAAGAAGCCCAACACATTCAATATCTATAAAGGGAGGAAGTAGCAGATTTTCCTGTTCAACAGTTTTGATTCAAAATGTCTACTCTCTCATTTAAAAGATCCTGAATCAGTTTCCCTAGCTAAAGCAACCATTATAAGAAGTTAAGTCAAATCCTAAAACCAAAATACTTTTGAGTTCAAGGAAGCTAGAACTGTGCATCTGCAATACTTTTTTTCAGTGCAATCTTAATTTCTAGGCGCTATTGCAGTAAGTTTGCGATGCAGATGGTAATTCTTGGGTGTTGGCTTGCTTTTTTAGTTTTGTGGAGATGATACATTTAGTGTTCTCGGAGAACTCCGCAAATGTGGCCTGACAGAGACTGAGACATGCTTGAAGATGGTTGCCCTCAACATCAATGGAGACCAGACTGTAAGTTTCTAAACCAAAGGATAGAGAACACCTTATAAGCCACAATGCCTTAAGAGACAGGAGTAACTAGGGGGGTGGGTATTCAATTCCATTCACATTTAAAGGCACACCTGGCTAATTCACACTTTCCAAAACTATATGGGGATTTAAACACAGGCACTCTTCAAAATTTGTACTTCTATGAAATTTTCAGTACAGTTCTGTAGCCAAATAATTTGTGCAAAAATGCATAAACTGAAGCTTAAAATACACTTTAAGTACAATTTAAGTGTGCTTAAAAATTGAATTAGTGAAAATAACATGCAAAAATGCATTATAGTAAGAGAAACAGCTTTGCAAAAATGTGTATGTGAGCCAATTTGCATACAAACAAAATTGCATAAAACGTTTGCATTAAAATGCTGATAAATTTTCATGAGGAGTTTTTGTAAAAATGCAAACTGATCTGGAAATGTGGAGAACTTAGCTTGAGACTGGAAAATCTGAGAGAGACCAAAAATGACAGATCCACCCATTCCTAGAATAGAATCTGTATGTAAAGGCAACTTGCTTTTTCTAGCTGATGCCCAAAGTATTAGAGTCAGAATAATAAAGTATCAAATAAATTGCCCTTATGTATTCCTGAAGACAATGGGTCAAATCCAGACAACCAGTGAGTGGAACTGTACTCATGGAAGTGGGAGGTTTTTGTTGATAACTGCAACACCCAAGGAGCTACTCCAGAGAGTTGGAGGACCTCTCAGAAGAACATGGGAAGCAGTACAGTAAGCTGCTAGGGAAAGTAGTAGAAATCATCTCTCCTGACTCTTTTTTGTGAGTAGGACTCTCTGCTGGGATGCCAGCTCCACCATGAAAAGGAGCTCTTCCATGACAATAATCAGCTCTGAAAAGGCATTTAGTCCATGAAAAGCAAAATGACTTAGTACTCACAAAAGTTCAATTAGAAAATGACTGCAAAATGTGTTTTAAATTGGTTTTGAAGAATGTCGTTGAAAGAACTATTTGAAAAGGAGGAAGAATGGGGCATGGGGGTGGGATAATCAGTTGAGGTTTCAAATCATAAAAGCCAACACTGTCAACCATATTGTTCAGAACCTTTCATCTTTGTATTTTACCAGTTTATGAAATTATGGTGTAATTTGTGCCCCTTACTGTTCACAGTAATGAATGCACAGAGAGATGGAAAGAATCAGGATTGGATTGATGGAGCATCCTTTGAACTTATTTAGGAACAATATGCTTCCTATGGTTGGCAACCTGCCAAAAGCTTGCCTTTTTTAACATGCATATTAGATAGATGATAGATGATGGATGATAGATAGATGATAGATAGATGATAGATAGATAGATAGATAGATGATAGATAGATAGATAGATGATAGATAGAGATAGATAGATAGATAGATAGATAGATAGATAGATAGATGATAGATGATAGATAGATAGATAGATAGATAGATAGATAGATGATAGATAGATAGATAGATTAGATAGATAGATAGATAGATAGATGATAGATAGATATAGATAGATGATAGAAGATAGATAGATGATGATTGATAGATAGATAGATGATAGATAGATAGATAGATAGATAGATAGATAGATAGATAGATGATAGATAGATAGATATAGATCGAAAGATAGATATAGATAGATGATAGATAGATAGAGATAGATAGATGATAGATAGATAGATGATAGATAGATAGATGATAGATAGATAGATAGATAGATAGATAGATAGATAGATGATAGAAGATAGATAGATGATAGATAGATAGATAGATAGATAGATAGATAGATAGATAGATAGATAGATATAGATAGATAGATGTAAAAAGTGTCCGGCCTCAAAATCAACCATTCAAGATTGGTTATATTAATGCTGAACACTCCCTAATTTCACTTATCTGATAGCAGGACCTGCATGTAATAGTTTTTATCCCCCCCATAAAGCTTATTAGAAGAAACAGAAGATGTAATTTATCACCAAACTCATTATTACTCCTTTTCTCTTTGTCACCAGACCATTGTGATCAGTCCTAATGGTGGTGTATTAGTCAACTCGCTCTACACTCAGTTGCCTCTCTCAGCAGGTATGTTGCATGTCAGAAACTTGTGTTTGCCATGGCAGCCTTAAAAGTTTTGAAATCTTAGGGGCAAGCTCAGCAGAAGGGCTTGTTACTCCACAAGCTAGCAACGTTTGATTGGGTTACTATTTTCCCTTTTCCAGTTCTGCTGGGAAAAGAAAGTTGGGTTTGTGTAGAGCAGATGTGAGGAACCTGTGGCCCTCTGAATGTTGCTAGACCACTACTCCCATCAGCCCCAAGAAGCATGGCCAATAGGAGAGTTGTAGTTGTAGTTCAGCAACATTTGGAAGACCAAATGTTCTCCACAACTAATGTAGAGGTTTCCCCTGGAAATGAAGGATTCTCTTACCATCAGCCATGTTTTAATAACATCCAGCCACAGCTACTATAATATAATGCATTGTATGTAAGGCAACCTTTGAAAGGAACTTCCAGATTAGATAGCAAGTTTGTTAACCAGGACTCTCCATAATGAGAATATAAACTGCTGCTGTTTACTACAAGGTCCTAAGCTACCTCTGTAGCTGAGACCAGAGTATGTGAAGGACAGCCACCTCCTATAGGAAACTACTTATTAGCTGAGATATATTTTGTGAAAGGTCTTTCACCTGGTGTCCAGAGATTAAGGAGTTGGCTGCCAGAAATAAGCCCTTTTTTGCACCCCATTTATGGGACTGCCTTCTAAAAGATGTCTGGTGCCATCGTTGTTATCATTCTGGTGCCAGACTATTCTATCATATTCCCCCAATCCTTTGATGGTTACGATTTGTTAGATCCATGCCATATATGCCACATTATTGTTTCAGTTCATACCACTTAATCATCAACAAAACTGGGGCAAACGATGATATGGTGGCCAATGGAGATTGGGCTGATGGTTGGGCACAATCTGAAAGTAAACATATAACTGTTTCAACTTGTATCTAACCCTTCACACATCCATCTAGCCCACAGTCACAACATGCCAATGTGCTTGGCTTGCATGAATTGGCCTTCACAAATCTGGTTCTTCTTTTCCTGAGTAATGGATGGCAGTTGCAGCTCTGAATCTCATAAGAATGGTGTCTTCTTTGTCCATAGCTAATGTAACCATATTCAGACCTTCGTCCTTCTTCATCATTGTGCATACAAACGTTGGCCTTCAGCTAGTAATCCAGCTCGTACCCACAATGCAATTGTATATTCATGTGGATCCATCTTTCAAAGGAAGGACTTGTGGTAAGAAGTATTTTAAAGCAAAAAGAAATTTGTGGCATGCCTGGGGGGCAAAGTATTATAAAACTGGACTATAAAACTCTTTGGGGTTTCTTTCAAAGGTCTCTGTGGAAACTTTGACAAGCGCCAGATGGATGACTTCACAGCCATAAGTGGAGTGGTGGAAGGAACAGCATCTGCATTTGCTAACACCTGGAAAACTCAGGCTGCATGTCCCAACATCAAACAAAGTTTTGAGGACCCTTGCACGCTTAGCATTGAAAATGGTAGGCATATTTGAGAATTATAAGCAAGACTCACAAACACTTCAAAATTATAATTCTACCTAGCTCGTGGGGAAAATTAATAGAAATAAACAAATTAGAAGAACTGACTGAAAACAAATATTAATAAATGGGGAAATCAGGGGAAATAAATAACAATAAAACCTTGCAAATCAAGATCCTGTAGCCACAATCTAAACAGAAGAAGTTAGGTATGCCACCCCCCATTGAAATACGGTAAGTGGATGTACACATGGCTACCTCTTTTTTTAGACTGTGGCTTGTAAGTTTTGCAAGTAGTCTATAAATTAACAGCCCTATGCATAATTGGGTATATTGGGTATCTGTAGCATGCACATATTCAAGATTTAGATCATTTCCTTCCTCAGTCCATGGCTTCAGGAGGTTCAGCAATGAGTGAACAGCAGTGAGTAGAACAAGCATTGTAGCAGCACCAGGATATCCTGTCTAGAGTCAGTGATGTGAGTTGAGGTAAAAGCTGCCATTTGCTCCTATAGAAATTCCCAAAACGATATGGATTAATTTCTTCTCTTTGTAGAAAAATACGCCCGACATTGGTGTGGATTGCTGACTGACTCGGAAGGACCTTTTGCTAAATGTCATGCCTCAGTTAATCCAGCTTCTTATCATACGGTATGAATACTGTTACCTCTCATTGAAAACAGTTTATTGGAGGAAGTTGAAAAGTATCTTTGGTTGGGGTAGGCAACCTGGTGTCCTACAGATATTTTGGACTGCAACTCCCACTGTCCATGACAATTGGCCATGCTAGCTGGGACTGGTGGGAATTGTAGTCATAAACATGGGCCCAACTGTTGGTTACCACTAATCTATAAGGAAACATAATGGTGGGACAAGACCAAATGGGTGGAACTAAATGGAAGGTGTCATCAGTATAGGATCACCGGGGGCCAAGCCATACCATCACATGTTTCAGGGATGAGGCAAGGTATGTCATTTCACAGAGAAAAGCAGAAATCAACAACTGGAGAGGGTGAAACTGACAAGGGAGTAGGGGAGCTGAGTGCTGGGCAGTTAACATAGGCCATGCTGAGACAGTGAAATGCTGAGCATAAATAGAATGTCCAGGAGTGAAGATGATGTGAAAGAATTTCAATAGAGCTTCTGGATGTTCTGAAGGCTGGGAGAAAAGCCAGTCAGGATTTGACTAGAAGGCATAGGAGAGTTTAAAGGACTAGTTCACAAATGCATGCCCATCACTTGATGACTACAGTATCAAATGCTGATTCCATGAGTAAATTGGCCCAGTGGTGGAGGAAGGGGGTGCGGGGGTGCAGGTCTCCCCAGGTGTCATCACTGAGGGGGATGGCATAATGACAAAAATATGAGTTTTTAAAATAAATTGGGCTCATGAAACTTTTTAGTTCAGTCAACAAACGTAACGAAACGCGGCTGGCACTGGGCGCTACACCACGGGGGCCGGCACTTACCACAGGGCCTGCAGCGTGCCCGAGCCACATGTCTCTCCTGGGAGTGAAGTGGTGGCTTGGGCGCCTGCAGGCTCTGTGCTGCCTGAAACGGCAGCATAGGACTTGCATCTGCCCTCTGCCTCTCCCTCAGCCATCCTACAGCTGAGGGGGAGATGGCAGAGAGGCTCCATAAAGCCCACTCTGCCCCCATGGGTGGCTTGTCCCACCCCCCAGCTGCAGGACATGCGTGCCGCACCCAGCACCCAAGCAGCTAGCTATGCCGCTGAATGGGCCATCACAAATCAAATACAGTGGTACCTCGGGTTACATACGCTTCAGGTTACAGACTCCGCTAATCCGGAAATATTACCTCGGGTTAAGAACTTTGCTTCAGGATGAGAACAGAAATTGTGCTCCGGCAGCGCAGCGGCAGCAGGAGGCTCCATTAGCCAAAGTGGTGCTTCAGGTTAAGAACAGTTTCAGGTTAAGAATAGACCTCCAGAACGAATTAAGTTCTTAACCCGAGGTATCACTGTACCACAGACAATGTTTTCCTGCCATTCCATATCACCACACATAAACTTTTCAAAAGAGTCAGTTCACATATTCTCCTCTGTATCATCGACTGATGAGAAATCTAGTGTTGCACATGTATGAGCTCACTGGCTTTAAGACTTCTGTTTCAGATGAATGTCTGAACTCAATGAGTAGTATTCTGTGATAGGTAAAAGTAAAGGGACCCCTGACCATTACGTCCAGTCATGACCGACTCTGGGGTTGCGGCGCTCATCTCGCTTTATTGGCCGAGGGAGCCGGCGTACAGCTTCCGAGTCATGTGGCCAGCATGACTAAGCTGCTTCTGGCGAACCAGAGCAGTGCACGGAAATGCCGTTTACCTTCCCCCTGGAGCGGTACCTATTTATCTACTTGCACTTTGACGTGCTTTCGAACTGCTAGGTGGGCAGGAGCAGGGACCGAGTAACGGGAGCTCACCCCATCATGGGGATTCGAACCACCGACCTTCTGATCAGCAAGTCCTAGGCTCTGTGGTTTAACCGACAGCGCCACCCGCGTCCCAAGTATTCTGTGATAGTCCTACTCAAAGTAGACCCACAGAAGTTAATGGCCATAAGTAACTTGGGTTCATTAATTTCAATAGGTCTAGTCTGAATAGGAATACTTCCGTCATCTCCTGGATCTAAATATAGATAAATATTTCCCCCTTTTATTCACATACACGCCACATGATACTTCATTTTGCTTTGAAGCATAATGCTTATAATCCTGAGTTGCTTGCAAGTAATGTTGATTTCCCTTTCCAGTTATGAACCAAAATGTAAGACTGACAATAGGGAAACTCAGAACTGAAAATCCAATTTGGGTCAGCAATTGTTGTATCGCTAAAATGGCCTGAAGGCACATGATACAATTCTACTGCTGAAGCCAAGTACATCGAGCCCCTGCCTGCTAAAGGATGGGAGATGACACTGAATGGGATATAAGTTAGTCTGAAAAAAAGTTACAAGTGAAATCTAATCTAGTCAAATTGAGAAACGGTAGGAAAAGGATTATTGACTTGGAATGGATTGTTTTTAATAAGAGCATTTTCCTGTTCTCTAGAATTGCATGTTTGACACCTGCAACTGTGAAAGAAGTGAGGATTGCATGTGTGCTGCCCTCTCTTCCTATGTTAGAGCCTGTGCAGCTGAAAAAGTAGAGCTTCCAGGATGGAGGACCAATGTCTGTTGTAAGTCTTCTAAACAGCCATCTCGGGTCTTAAAATGAAATAACTTTTTGTGCCAATGAATCTTAGCATTTTCCTTGTCTTGCTGGGTTCTCTTAGTGATGGTCTGGAGTAATAGACTTCAGGACACATTCCCCCCCCCAAAAAAATAATAATAATCCAATTTTTAAAAATTAAAATAAAAAAGATGGATCTAGTCATGGACATTCATGCCTTGATTTTATCCAGGCTAGGTTTCAGCAATGCACTCTATGTGGAGATGCCTTCCAAAAGCATCTGGGAGCTGCAGATTTCACAATGCAGCAGCCACACTACTATCTGAGATGAATGTATAGAACACATCACTAATACTACTCTAATTTCACTGGTTATCTGCTTCTGGTCTCAATTTCCAAGTACTGGTCTTAACCATTAAATTCATAGTCTGGGACCTGGATACCTAAAGGATTGCCCTCACCCATAAGAACCTGCCCTTGCAGGTTCTGCTCTGTGTCTCCTTGATGCTCTGTGGCAGATAGGTACTAGGGACAGAGCATTTTTAGTTGTGGCACCCTCACTATGAAATGCCCTCCTGAAGGTCTGCCTGGCTTCTGTTTCAGCAGGCATTTAGCTATCTATATAACCACATGTATTCTTCCTTTAGTAATTTAACTTATTATTTTTTAATTCTTTTTTTGTAAACTACTGTGTGTATGTCTGTGTCCTAGGACGAAAAGGCAGGTCACAGAAAAGCTTTCAATCAATCAATCAATCAATCAAGCTGTTTGTTTTTCTCTTTCCAGCCAGATACACCACTTCATGTCCCAAATCCCTGAATTACAGCTATTCCATCAGTTCTTGTCAACCTACCTGCCGATCTCTGAGTGAACCTGATGTTACTTGCAATGTCAAATTTGTCCCAGTTGATGGATGCACCTGTGAAAGTGGAACCTACATGGATGATTATGGAAAATGTGTACCTGCTAACAAATGCCCATGCTATTACAAAGGAACGTCAATACTCTCCGGTGAAGTGCTCCATGACGTTGGTGTTTTGTGGTAAGAGGATTCAAGCTGCTGCCTTTAACTTTTTAGTACAGCCTTCACCAACCTGGTGCCATCCAAATGTTAGGGACTACAACTCATGGCAAAGCTCTTCTAGCATTATCAGAATACATGACTAAGTAGTGCCGGTATCTGGAATGCTTGCATTTTGTCCCAGATTCTTTTATCGCTACCTAACTAATTTCCCCTCCATATCTTATAAGTAAATAGACCAAAATGCCTAAATACATAAAGAGCAACAGAATTTGGAAAAACATCCAAATTAGTGACCTGTATGGTCCCATTTTCAGATTCTAAAAAAGGTAAAGGTAAAGGTACCCCTGCCCGTACAGGCCAGTCTTGACAGACTCTAGGGTTGTGCGCTCATCTCACTCTATAGGCCGGGAGCCAGCGCTGTCCGCAGACACTTCCGGGTCACGTGGCCAGCGTGACAAGCCAGCACACGTAACGCCGTTTACCTTCACGCTGGTAAGCGGTCCCTATTTATCTACTTGCACCCGGGGGTGCTTTCGAACTGCTAGGTTGGCAGGCGCTGGGACCGAACGACGGGAGCGCACCCCGCCGCGGGGATTCAATTTCAGATTCTAAATATCCCTAAATCACCAATATTTCTGGAGTAAACCCAACTGCTCTACTCTGTATAGGGCACAACTACAGACTCACAACTTGAAGGCTCCAAGTTTTAAGCACAACCAGAAAGTGAATGCAAAAGCAAACCTAATTCCTCTTTCTTTTACATAGCACATGCAGCCAAGGAAAGTTGAACTGCATTGGTGATGGGGACACAAAACAGGGTAAGGAGAATATACCTATATATGTAAAATATGTTATATATACTTACTTTCCATCTTGGAAAGTTGCAGACAATTGGGCTGCGTTCCTTATTTTGTTAAAAGCCTTTTATATTGTAGATGGCTACAAATTGACAACTGGGCACAATTATTAAATATTCACTGGAAAACCATATTCATTAAAAGTTTCAAATTAATACGGGCTTCATAGTTAATTATATAATAGTTCCACAAACCATAGTAGACTTCTGTTCAAAAGGTTTGTTTGAGGTCTTCCTGTTCTGTGGTACCCATGCCTGTCCTTTCATCTCTTACACATTTTCTCTCCTTTTGCCCTGCTAGTCTGCGTTGCCCCCATGGTCTACTTTAACTGCAGAAATGCCACTGCAGGCCAAACTGGAGCTGAATGCCAGAAAAGCTGTCAGACTCTTGATATGCACTGTGTAAGTATGCAGGACCAGATGATATTTTAAGAGACTGTGCTATCAATCAGAATGTCCTTTGCTTTTGTCACAAACTTATTATCTGACCTTAGACAAGGCACTCTCCTGTCCTCACCCTCTTCCCCATCTAGAGTAGGGGGTGAGGGATCTCAGGATGTTAGCTGAACAGAGCCCTCCCAGCCTCAGGCCTCTTTTCAGCCCCTTCCCCTCCCTGGTCCTGCTTCGTGTCCTCAAGTGCTTTTGCCTGTTTGGAATGTGTTTTGAACTGTGACAAATGCCTATTGCTTGTCTGGATGAAGGATGGAAGATGGAGAAGTGTGTGAACCTCTGCCTTTTGCATGATCAGAATGTAGACTACAGTACATAAGGTTAGGGTTACATCTGTTGCTCCACTCACATTTACCTCTGACCCAACCTACCACTGGCATGAAAATCCTGGAAGGTTGTCAACAAGAAAGGTGGACCTCAGACTGAAAACATTCCCCATCCCTGAGCTGCAGGATTATAATGCATATATTGGAACTTTGCATAATTTCTTATTTATTTCATTAAATATACATACCACTAAATTAAACACACCCGCACCCACCTACAAGTGGTTTACAAAAAAAGCAGGGGATAAGCATGGGATCTTCCATTCTCTTTAGTGTCAGGGAAGGAACAGTCTTCACATGCACCAGCATCAAAGTTAAGTGGACCAGCCACTGCTCATTCAAACCTTAATGTTTACGCTGGAGACCACCTTGCAAATTGGGGCTCCTGGGTATGCACAAGAGCTGCTGAATTAGGTGTCAGTTCACAATTTAACAAGCATAGGCTTTCACCCACTTGAATTCCCACAGCCTACAGTCTTTTGATCCAGTCCTGTTTTAGTGGACTAATTCAATTGTTATCAGCATTATTCTCTCTTCTGAAGTAATGCTTTCTTGGCTTTTACAGTATAGCACACAGTGTGTCTCTGGCTGCATGTGCCCTGCTGGGCTGGTGTCAGATGGTAAAGGGGGCTGCATCGCTATGGAAGAGTGTCCATGCATTCACAATGATGCCACATATCAGCCAGGAGAGAAGATTAAAGTCAACTGTAACACCTGGTAAGGACTTCTTAAAGAAAATGCCTCTTGTTACCATCATCTTATATGTTCCTAAAATAACTAACACAAAAAATATAAATAATTATCAGGTTGAATAACAGGTTGGCAGATATACATAGGGTCATTTCACGTATTACACTATTATGCATGTACACCAGAGTTTACTCTCTAATGTACACCTATGTATACTATAAATAACTAAAGAAATAAATACCTAAAAATATTATGTGGCTATGACATTTTTTTATTAATAAATGTGTATTCTATTTGTCAAATTAAATTTTCCAGGGTGACTTATGTAAAATCCACATACAACAAACAACATCATGAAAGGCAGCAGATAAAAGCATAATTAAAAACAGTCAATTCAGACTTTAAAGTTCGTTAAAAGGCCATAGACAACAAAGTGGCCCTCATCTGTTGCCAAAGAAACATAGTAGCATGGGCACCAGCTAAACCACTCTGGCTGTTCCTTAGATGGGCTGTGACCACTGAACAAGCTTCCTTCCTGGTCACCCCCTGCCACACCCCAAGTCTGTGGGCACACCTAGAAGAAAGCTTCTGATGGTAACTTTTGTGCATTGACAGGCTGATGTGGAGGTGAATGAGCCAAGTAACCAAATACAGCTGGATAGGAGGAACTTCATATCCTCATTAGCACAATGATACATTATACACACAGTCACACACATACATCTTGCTTATTTCTGAACAAATCAGGGAAGTGTTATAAGGGAGGTCTGGGCTTTTATAAGGCACCTGCTTGGCTATTGTGAGAACAGATGCTGGACAGGATGGGCCATTGGCCTGATCCAGCAGCCTCTTCTTATGTTCCCCTTAGGCTAGTCCACAATATGGTACAGTGAACTTGTAACATTCTTGAGTGGCCTATGAAAGAACTTACATAGCTCATTTCTTTTAATTCCCATCTTTCTGATGTTTTACAGGTTGTAAGAAATAACGCAGCTTCCCTTGCTCTCCCCTCCCCTCTCCACACATTGCCTATGATTAATTTAAGAGATAAGTCATTTAAGCCTGTGTTAAAGGAATACATGCCAGCTTATATCTGCGCAAACCAAGGAATCACTTTAAAATGCTCTATTTTCTCCCTTCTTCTCCCTCAGCGTATGTAAGAACAGGATGTGGGAATGCACCAAGGACAGATGCCTAGGTACCTGTGCTGTTTATGGAGATGGGCATTATATCACCTTTGACGACAAGCGTTACATTTTCAATGGGAAATGTGAATATACACTAGTTCAGGTACTGAGCAATTTGTCTTGGCCTTATGGATGGAGAATTAAGCTGAATACACCACAGAATGAAGTCATCTCTTCCCTTATTTCACCCTCCCCTTCTTAGGATCACTGTGGACAGAACAACTCTGCCCCCGGAACATTCCGAGTCATCACCGAAAATGTTCCCTGTGGTACTACTGGAACCACTTGCTCCAAATCTATTAAAGTCTTCTTTGGGGTGAGTAGCGTTACCAGTACTATTATGGAACCGTATCAGGGTTTAGCATGAGATGATTTAATCTGCATACTAGGTTCCAAACAAGCAACTAAGTGAGGCAAGGAGGTGAACTGGAAAGAGAAAGTGAGGGCAGGAGAAGAGACTTCTATCCTCTCACCACCTACAGCCCCCCCTCCCTCCTGCTAGTCTTGCACCTACTGAGCCTCTCACCTTCAGGCAAGCCAGCACCAGCAGTTGAGAGCAGCAGAGATAAGGCCACTGCTACAATTGTTTTAACTGTTTTTAATTTGTGTGGTTTGTTGTTGTTGTTTGTTTGTTTTTACTGAGTGAGGGGAGATGCGTTTGAAAATAGAGGAGATTGAGAAGTGCCCCAATAAGAGTGGTTCAGGATAGGGACGAGGTATAATGTAGGAGGCGGGGCAGACCGGGTAAGGGGCACATGTCACAGGCAGTTAGTGACTGTGCCATGTGCCAGCCCCTTCTCCAACCTGGGTAATTGTGGTTGTCATATCAGCCAGCCCTCGATTCTGCAGGCACTATTGCTGAATGCCAGGTCAGCTCTGAACAAGACCTTCCTCATCCCTGGTCTGATTATGAATGAGGAGGCCAATCTGTTCTGCATCACTGAGACCTAGGTGGGTGAGCAGGGTGGAGTTGGACTCACACACACCAGTACTTGGTGCAGCATCAGGGCAGACTTGAGGGTCGCTGAGGGGAAGTTGCTCTAGTCTGTAGAAATTCTCTCTCTCTCGGCTTTCTGAGCAGCTGGAGGTGGGTGGCATCTAGAGTGTGTGATCCTGGCACTGGGCAACCAGGACAGACTAGGAGTTTTGGCTTACCACCCACCTCGCTGCCCAACAGTCTCCCTGCCTGAATTTTCTGCAACACATTATACGTAGGGTTGATGGATGATGAACACCAGTTTTTGTTTTTGAACATCGTAATGACTTTCCCCCATTATTTATTTTGCTCCCCCAGAACTATGATCTGATCCTCAGTGAGGAGCGCCATGAATTAATACAAAGGGGTGATGGAGGCCAAGTACCTTACAAGATTCGCTACATGGGCATGTATTTGGTTATTGAAGCAAACAATGGGCTGATCCTTTTATGGGATAAGAAAACCAGCGTATTTATCAAATTACGTGATGATTTCAAGGTGATGCACTTTTTACAAGACTAGTGCCTCTTACATTTTAAGTTTAAATGTGCATAATTTAGATGCAAATCCCACTCATTTCCATGACAATTATTTCAATTGTAAGTGTGCTTAGAGTCACACCTTAAGAGCTGATTTTCAAGACAGAAACCATGGGGAGGTCATCTGAAATAGCCTCTGCAAAAAGGATGGTTCATAAGGGAAACTACTTCATATGCCTTGTCTCTTTGGTATATATTGGTTCCCGGCATGACTGGCTTTCATGCAACTGCCTCCACCGGGATTATTTGAAGATGCCATGGGGCATATCAAACAAACAGGGCTATTCCACAGGGAGCTGCTGCCGCATGGAAGAAGTGGCAAACAGCCTCTGCTTGACATCCATATTGTATAAAGTACCATTAGTAAACAGGTATATGATTCTGATTTAGATGAGTATCTGTTTGCAATCTCACCTTGCAAGCATCTACTTTTTAACTGACCCAGAAAACACCATGTTTTGATAAGGAGACCAAATATAATAGTTCTGTTATCATTTCAAAATATGAGCAATGTTTGAACATTTCAATGAATTTTATACCAATGCAGTATATTTTCAGTATATGTCTGCTGCCCTTTTGATCAGCATATGGCAATAAGATGGAGAAGTTATGAATAGACAATAACTTGTAGATTAACAATAACTGAGAAATCGAACACAATATAAAATTCTTCTTTTTTTTGTATTTTTGAACAAATGCAAAATAATATTCATAGGAAGGAAAGAAAAAACAAATCTCTTACCTCTAGGCACACATGGCTTGTGTTTTCTAAATGCAACAAATAATGATAGTTTCCTGTAATAAGAGATGGCAGCGTGTTAATTAACCAAATGGGAGAAAATCAAAAATTAAGTTGGGCTAAGAGGTTCATGCAATTTATCTGTAACTCAAGTGTTTTCATTGCTTCTTTGTGCAGGGTCAGGTCTGTGGTTTATGTGGGAACTATGATGGCAATGGAATGAATGACTTTACTACCCGGAGTCAGTCTGTAGTAAGTGATGTGCTGGAGTTTGGTAATAGTTGGAAGGTGTCTCCCACATGTCCTGAAGCGAAATGCACAAAGGATCCTTGCTTCAAGAACCCTTACAGAAAGTCCTGGGCACAGAAGCAATGCAGCATCATCAACAGCAAGGCCTTTGCTGCCTGCCACTCTCAGGTATACCTTGCGGCAGAACTATCTTGAAGTCTAGAATTTTCAGGTGTTCACCACAATTCCTGAGCAATTACAAGTCTATAATTATACATGTGGTGGTTTCATGGATTTCAACAGTCCATACAGAAGGCACGTAACACCCTACAGGATGTCACCAACTCTGAAGACTGTCTAGCAGCACCTTTAAGTAGTGCCTTTAACAACCCTCTACTATGTGACCCACTGCTGTCATATTCTAGATTTTGGAGTGTGTTCAGTGTAAATGTTTATCACTAGATCCTGTTTCTAATGCTTTGGATTGTGAAGAAGCCATTTAGAAAAATACTAATAAGAAGAATTCAGGCTAAGTCAAGACAGACCATTCAGAAAATTAGCTTATGCTGATATCTTTTCTTCCTGTTTTAAAGGGAAGTCCCTAACTGACTGTTACGACCCATTTTATTGCCTTCTTTTGCTAATCAATTCTTGATGTGAATATTCAACTATGGAACTTTTACCACCCCAATACAGCAGGCAAGATACGTGTGCATAAATGGAATTTTGCTTACCGGCCTGTATTTGTGCCAATGCAAAAAGATAATGGGAGGGCAGTTCCAGGTCTGTGCAGTGTTTTGGAGGGAAAGAGTGGGTATGGGAGTCAGTCTGGATACCCCTTCCCCTCCCCTCCTCTCTCCAAGAGGTGATCCATGCTGCCTGAATGAGCAGTGCTCATATTCTTCAGCAAGTTGCATGAGCACACCAGTTGGTGTACAGTCTTCTGTGTGAACACTCTGGATCAGGGCCTCTATCTTCACCACTTAGGGCAAAGTGTGAAAGGATGTTAAATGTGCCTTCCCATTGCACCTGAAGGTTTTGGGGGTATTTTTTAAAATGCAACTAGCACTCCCTGAAAGGACACTTTTCATGGAGACATTTTAGATGTGAACTTCTCGCTGACTTTGAATTTCTTACGTTCCTTATGTTTTGGTTTTTGTTGCACTGTATGCAAATATTTAATGTACAGTGGTACCTCGGGTTACATACGCTTCAGGTTACATACGCTTCAGGTTACACACTCCGCTAACCCAGAAATTGTGCTTCAAGTTAAGAACTTTGCTTCAGGATAAGACCAGAAATCAGGCTCCGGCGGCGTGGCGGCAGCAGGAGGCCCCATTAGTTAAAGTGGTGCTTCAGGTTAAGAACAGTTTCAGGTTAAGAACGGACCTCCGGAACGAATTAAGTACTTAACCTGAGGTACCACTGTAAATAGAATCAGCTGGTGTGGTGGAGGGGCTGATAATGACTGTTTACACATTAAATGCAAAGATGCATTCAGACCTCATATTTAGTTTGGCCCTTTGGATCTTTTGCACACTAGCCAACAGTCTATGAAAGCAATTGCAAACCCAGGGGGTGGGGATATTACCAACAACTTCTCAAACACACTATCGCCCGTGGAACAAACTTAGGAAATGTCAGCAGGATCCATAGCTGATGCTTCAATGTTTTAACAGGTTGAGCCAACGAGATATTACGAAGCTTGTGTAACTGATTCCTGCGCTTGTGACACGGGGGGAGATTGTGAATGCTTCTGTACAGCTGTAGCTGCGTATGCTCAAGCATGTAGTGAATTTGGAGTGTGCATATCATGGAGAACACCATCATTCTGTCGTGAGTATTGGACCACACTTGAATGTATACTGGAAGTGGGAGGAGGGTGAAGGGGAAATGAGATATTAGCTTCAAGATAATTTTTCCATTAGATATATATGACAATAAACAGCACACTGAAGAAAATGTCTGGATTTGTGTGTGTGTGTGGTACAGTACTGTGAATACTTTCAATGAATCAGCAACTGCCTAATGTAGGATTATTGATATAACTATGTTGCAGTAAATAGAAATAACTACATTCATTTTCAGTGCTTTCTTCATGCCTTTGCTTCCCACCTTCTTATCAGTTTAGGTATTGGCCTCATGAGCATACTTTGTCATGGTGCCCACCATTATTTTAATGGCATTGACAGCAATACAGATCCATGCTGGAATGTCTGGTCCTCAACCTTTTTCTTTTGGTTCCCCTTAGCAATGTTCTGTGATTATTACAATGATGAACGTGAATGTGAATGGCACTACAAGCCTTGTGGAGCCCCATGCATGAAGACATGCAGAAACCCGAGCGGGAGATGCCATTATCAGTTGCCTGGCTTGGAAGGTAAGAAGTCTTCTAGTGCCTTATAGTGCTCATTAAGCCAGCTATGCACAACATTTAATAGGTTTCAAGTTTGGGGGAATGTTGTTGGTTGTCTAAACCAATAGAAAATAGGTCACCTTGTGTTCTCATCTTTTTGGGTTTCAAATGGCTTGCAGTCAGGCTTAAATTCTATGAGCCAGCCTAGATGTGATCAAGGGCTCATTCGACACACCTGCAAATGACCACAACCTTTTTCTTTTTATGGAAACTTGGAAGCATGTGGAAAAGCTATTGGTGGAAAGATCCCAGCACTGGACCAGATGACAAATATTAATTAAAATACCCCCAACAAAAAAGTAAATTAAATGGAATTGTTTTTTGACAGATTTTATATATTGCTCTTATCTCCCTCACACCTTCCTTTGTCTCAGGCTGCTACCCACACTGTCCAGCAGACAGGCCTTATTTCAATGAGGATGAGATGACGTGTGTTGATGTGTGTGGCTGTTATGATGATCAGGGTAACTATCATCCACTAGGAAAAACATTTGACTCAAGAAAGACATGTCAGTCATGGTAAGTATGTATAGCTTGACAACACTAAGAGAAATGATCAATTACAGTAGCACCTCCAGTTACGTTACTCTCGGTAACGTAAACTTAAGGTTGTGAAAGCGACAAACCTGGAAGTGCTTCACTGCGCACACATACGCAGAAGCAGTCTACCACCGCGCGCACATGCGCAGAAGTGGTCTACCACTTTTCATTGGGTAGCGAAAACCTTGGGATCCGGCTGGAACTCCAGAATGGATCCCGTTCGCAACCGGAGGTACTACTGTACTCTCTGTATACCCCTTGAGATGTTATTCTTGTTGATTCTAGAATGAATCTTGTTGCTCCAATTGCATCCTTTATCATATACTCATAATATACCATTAGAATGAAGTATGCTGAGAATCTAATTGATTGAAGTAATATTTTAAATTGGATTTTACATACACAATAAATCCGAAAAACCAGAACAAGAAAATTATTAGAATGTTCCTATTTGCAATTCAGTGTGAAAGTGGTAGATGAAATCACAGACAAGAAGTAGTAAATGAATGCTTAAGGGGGCAGGGGAAAAACTATGAAATTAACTTCCAGACCAAACTAAGTAGAAAATAAACAGCAGAATGCAGTTTTATGATTCCTGGGTCTCACATTTTCCTATCATTTTTTTACAGTACATGCACCAGTAAAGGCATAGAGTGTAACTACGATGCCAAAGGTAAGCTGTATGTAGTGAGTTATGAATGGCACCTTATATCATATTTCATATGATGTTACCTAACCATTCTTACTCTGTCAATTTTCAGCATGCTACTGCTATTATGAAGGAAAGACATATATCTACAAGGATGTCATCTACAACACCACAGATGGCTTGGGCTGGTGCATGATTGCAACGTGTGATGTCAATGGAACAATCCACAGAGAACTATTCAGATGTGGTGGGACTACCACAATATCACCTACAGTTTCAACTACAACACCAAGTGAAGCAGGTATTTCAGTCCAAATCTTTTGCTTCAACTCTTTCCAAACTTCTCTGAGAGAAGTTCCATTGAACACAGTGAACAATACTTCTGAGTAGAAATGCACTGCACCACACCAAAGAGCAGAGAAGCAGCTCCTACCACTGCAGTAGTAGCACAAATAGCACCACATCTTGGGTCAGCTGTTAAAATCAGAGGTGCCATACAACACCACACAAAGGGACAAATTCAACTAAATGCTTTTGTTAATAGAGCCAGCACAAATGAGTCCCACTAGTGCAACAGGGCTTGTACTAATGGAGCAATCTCCTTAGTGCTACTTAGGTATTTGAGCCAGCTCCATAACATAATTTTTTACCAATTATCTCAACCAAACTAGATGTAAATGCGACATGATCAAGAGCAAGCATTTATAAACAAAGTATGTAAGAAAATGAAGAGATAATGAAACATAACATAGGAAAACATCCCCAAATACACCATATTCATATTTTTTGTTACATGTTGCATATATTATTTTAAAATAAAAATATACAAGATGGAAATCAAAATAAAGTTAAGTTGAAGGTTCAATCGGCTCAAACATGGCAGCTCCCCAGATGGAATGATCCACTTCCACCAATGTGCTCTTCTGGTTCCCCCCGCCCTCCAATCCCTGCCTCATCTACAGAAAAAACTTGGGGGAGGGGTTACATGGGAGGAGAGAGGAGGCAGATAACAGATAGGGAGATTTATGATCTAAATAAACCGGATTAAAATAACCAGTGATGTTGTTTCTTACAGAATCCACTACAGCGCAAACAACAGTATGTGTCCATAGAACATGTGAATGGACTGAATGGTATGATGTCAGCTACCCTAAATTTGGACCAGACAATGGGGATTATGAAACACCAGAGAAAATAAGAGATAGAGGAAACAAAGTATGTAAAATGCCAGATGAAGTGGAATGCAGAGCTCAGCGCTTTCCTAATGAAAGCATAGAAACCCTCGGACAAAACGTACAATGTTCCAAGTCTAACGGTTTGATATGCAACAATAAGGATCAGACACCACCAATCTGCCTGAATTTTGAAATCAGGTTCCTATGCTGCCTATACACACCATGTGGTGCATCTACATATACACCCATTACTTCAAGAAAGCCAGAAACAACTCCAGCAACACCAGAAATAACAACAGCAGGATCCAGAACTACATCTAAAGTGACAGGTGGCATAACAACCACCCTGGCTCCCCTTGTCACCATTACGCCAGGAAGCACCACTACCGGTTGCCAACCCAAATGCCAGTGGACCTCTTGGTTCAGTTTTCACACTCCAAGCTCCGACCCTGGGGATGGCGACCGCGAGGACATTAAGAGCATCCAGGCATCGGGCGGTACCATCTGCGAGCACCCTCAAAAGGTGGAGTGCAGAGGAGTGGACTACCCAGAGCTCAGCGCATCTGAACTTGGACAGGACATGATCTGCGATATCGACACTGGACTCCTTTGTGAGAATGCCAAACAGAGAGGGAAGTACAAGATATGTTACGACTATGAGATGAGAGCACTGTGTTGCGACTACAAGCACTGTGAAACCACGCCAGCGCCACTGGTCACAACAAGTGCCACCACCACAGAAGCCCCGGGTAGCACGGTGGGCAAGAGCACGGCTCCAGCATCCTCCACGGGCTCTACGCCACCTCCTGTTGTTCACACCACCACCGAAAGCACCACCCTTGTTTCCCCAACACCAGGAGTAACCACAGGAAAACCAACAACCACAGAAACACCAGGCAGCACGGCAGGCAAGAGCACGGCTCCAGCATTCTCCACGGGCTCTACGCCACCTCCCGTTGTATTCACCACCACCGAAAGCACCACCCTTGTTCCGACAACTCCAGGAGTTACAACAAGAAAGCCAACCACCACCACCCACTCAACGCCGCTTTCCACCCTCCCTCTCACAACACCAGGCTCAGTCAGCACTGCTGCCGTCTCCACTGGAGTGGTCCCCACTGTGACAGCCACAACACTCCAGTCCACTCCTGTTTCCAAGCCTTCCTCAACAATACCCACCACCGGGACCACTGCACAAACCCCTCCAGGCCTGCTGACCACAACAACCACCCTGGCTCCCCTTGTCACCACTACGCCAGGAAGCACCACTACCGGTTGCCAACCCAAATGCCAGTGGACCTCTTGGTTCAGTTTTCACACTCCAAGCTCCGACCCTGGGGATGGCGACCGCGAGGACATTAAGAGCATCCAGGCATCGGGCGGTACCATCTGCGAGCACCCTCAAAAGGTGGAGTGCAGAGGAGTGGACTACCCAGAGCTCAGCGCATCTGAACTTGGACAGGACATGATCTGCGATATCGACACTGGACTCCTTTGTGAGAATGCCAAACAGAGAGGGAAGTACAAGATATGTTACGACTATGAGATGAGAGCACTGTGTTGCGACTACAAGCACTGTGAAACCACGCCAGCGCCACTGGTCACAACAAGTGCCACCACCACAGAAGCCCCGGGTAGCACGGTGGGCAAGAGCACGGCTCCAGCATCCTCCACGGGCTCTACGCCACCTCCTGTTGTTCACACCACCACCGAAAGCACCACCCTTGTTTCCCCAACACCAGGAGTAACCACAGGAAAGCCAACAACCACAGAAACACCAGGCAGCACGGCAGGCAAGAGCACGGCTCCAGCATTCTCCACGGGCTCTACGCCACCTCCCGTTGTATTCACCACCACCGAAAGCACCACCCTTGTTCCGACAACTCCAGGAGTTACAACAAGAAAGCCAACCACCACCACCCACTCAACGCCGCTTTCCACCCTCCCTCTCACAACACCAGGCTCAGTCAGCACTGCTGCCGTCTCCACTGGAGTGGTCCCCACTGTGACAGCCACAACACTCCAGTCCACTCCTGTTTCCAAGCCTTCCTCAACAATACCCACCACCGGGACCACTGCACAAACCCCTCCAGGCCTGCTGACCACAACAACCACCCTGGCTCCCCTTGTCACCACTACGCCAGGAAGCACCACTACCGGTTGCCAACCCAAATGCCAGTGGACCGCTTGGTTCAGTTTTCACACTCCAAGCTCCGACCCTGGGGATGGCGATCGCGAGGACATTAAGAGCATCCAGGCATCGGGCGGTACCATCTGCGAGCACCCTCAAAAGGTGGAGTGCAGAGGAGTGGACTACCCAGAGCTCAGCGCATCTGAACTTGGACAGGACATGATCTGCGATATCGACACTGGACTCCTTTGTGAGAATGCCAAACAGAGAGGGAAGTACAAGATATGTTACGACTATGAGATGAGAGCACTGTGTTGCGACTACAAGCACTGTGAAACCACGCCAGCACCACTGGTCACAACAAGTGCCACCACCACAGAAGCCCCGGGTAGCACGGTGGGCAAGAGCACGGCTCCAGCATCCTCCACGGGCTCTACGCCACCTCCTGTTGTTCACACCACCACCGAAAGCACCACCCTTGTTTCCCCAACACCAGGAGTAACCACAGGAAAGCCAACAACCACAGAAACACCAGGCAGCACGGCAGGCAAGAGCACGGCTCCAGCATTCTCCACGGGCTCTACGCCACCTCCCGTTGTATTCACCACCACCGAAAGCACCACCCTTGTTCCGACAACTCCAGGAGTTACAACAAGAAAGCCAACCACCACCACCCACTCAACGCCGCTTTCCACCCTCCCTCTCACAACACCAGGCTCAGTCAGCACTGCTGCCGTCTCCACTGGAGTGGTCCCCACTGTGACAGCCACAACACTCCAGTCCACTCCTGTTTCCAAGCCTTCCTCAACAATACCCACCACCGGGACCACTGCACAAACCCCTCCAGGCCTGCTGACCACAACAACCACCCTGGCTCCCCTTGTCACCACTACGCCAGGAAGCACCACTACCGGTTGCCAACCCAAATGCCAGTGGACCGCTTGGTTCAGTTTTCACACTCCAAGCTCCGACCCTGGGGATGGCGATCGCGAGGACATTAAGAGCATCCAGGCATCGGGCGGTACCATCTGCGAGCACCCTCAAAAGGTGGAGTGCAGAGGAGTGGACTACCCAGAGCTCAGCGCATCTGAACTTGGACAGGACATGATCTGCGATATCGACACTGGACTCCTTTGTGAGAATGCCAAACAGAGAGGGAAGTACAAGATATGTTACGACTATGAGATGAGAGCACTGTGTTGCGACTACAAGCACTGTGAAACCACGCCAGCACCACTGGTCACAACAAGTGCCACCACCACAGAAGCCCCGGGTAGCACGGTGGGCAAGAGCACGGCTCCAGCATCCTCCACGGGCTCTACGCCACCTCCTGTTGTTCACACCACCACCGAAAGCACCACCCTTGTTTCCCCAACACCAGGAGTAACCACAGGAAAGCCAACAACCACAGAAACACCAGGCAGCACGGCAGGCAAGAGCACGGCTCCAGCATCCTCCACGGGCTCTACGCCACCTCCCGTTGTATTCACCACCACCGAAAGCACCACCCTTGTTCCGACAACTCCAGGAGTTACAACAAGAAAGCCAACCACCACCACCCACTCAACGCCGCTTTCCACCCTCCCTCTCACAACACCAGGCTCAGTCAGCACTGCTGCCGTCTCCACTGGAGTGGTCCCCACTGTGACAGCCACAACACTCCAGTCCACTCCTGTTTCCAAGCCTTCCTCAACAATACCCACCACCGGGACCACTGCACAAACCCCTCCAGGCCTGCTGACCACAACAACCACCCTGGCTCCCCTTGTCACCACTACGCCAGGAAGCACCACTACCGGTTGCCAACCCAAATGCCAGTGGACCGCTTGGTTCAGTTTTCACACTCCAAGCTCCGACCCTGGGGATGGCGATCGCGAGGACATTAAGAGCATCCAGGCATCGGGCGGTACCATCTGCGAGCACCCTCAAAAGGTGGAGTGCAGAGGAGTGGACTACCCAGAGCTCAGCGCATCTGAACTTGGACAGGACATGATCTGCAATATCGACACTGGACTCCTTTGTGAGAATGCCAAACAGAGAGGGAAGTACAAGATATGTTACGACTATGAGATGAGAGCACTGTGTTGCGACTACAAGCACTGTGAAACCACGCCAGCACCACTGGTCACAACAAGTGCCACCACCACAGAAGCCCCGGGTAGCACGGTGGGCAAGAGCACGGCTCCAGCATCCTCCACGGGCTCTACGCCACCTCCTGTTGTTCACACCACCACCGAAAGCACCACCCTTGTTTCCCCAACACCAGGAGTAACCACAGGAAAGCCAACAACCACAGAAACACCAGGCAGCACGGCAGGCAAGAGCACGGCTCCAGCATCCTCCACGGGCTCTACGCCACCTCCCGTTGTATTCACCACCACCGAAAGCACCACCCTTGTTCCGACAACTCCAGGAGTTACAACAAGAAAGCCAACCACCACCACCCACTCAACGCCGCTTTCCACCCTCCCTCTCACAACACCAGGCTCAGTCAGCACTGCTGCCGTCTCCACTGGAGTGGTCCCCACTGTGACAGCCACAACACTCCAGTCCACTCCTGTTTCCAAGCCTTCCTCAACAATACCCACCACCGGGACCACTGCACAAACCCCTCCAGGCCTGCTGACCACAACAACCACCCTGGCTCCCCTTGTCACCACTACGCCAGGAAGCACCACTACCGGTTGCCAACCCAAATGCCAGTGGACCTCTTGGTTCAGTTTTCACACTCCAAGCTCCGACCCTGGGGATGGCGATCGCGAGGACATTAAGAGCATCCAGGCATCGGGCGGTACCATCTGCGAGCACCCTCAAAAGGTGGAGTGCAGAGGAGTGGACTACCCAGAGCTCAGCGCATCTGAACTTGGACAGGACATGATCTGCGATATCGACACTGGACTCCTTTGTGAGAATGCCAAACAGAGAGGGAAGTACAAGATATGTTACGACTATGAGATGAGAGCACTGTGTTGCGACTACAAGCACTGTGAAACCACGCCAGCGCCACTGGTCACAACAAGTGCCACCACCACAGAAGCCCCGGGTAGCACGGTGGGCAAGAGCACGGCTCCAGCATCCTCCACGGGCTCTACGCCACCTCCTGTTGTTCACACCACCACCGAAAGCACCACCCTTGTTTCCACAACACCAGGAGTAACCACAGGAAAGCCAACAACCACAGAAACACCAGGCAGCACGGCAGGCAAGAGCACGGCTCCAGCATCCTCCACGGGCTCTACGCCACCTCCCGTTGTATTCACCACCACCGAAAGCACCACCCTTGTTCCGACAACTCCAGGAGTTACAACAAGAAAGCCAACCACCACCACCCACTCAACGCCGCTTTCCACCCTCCCTCTCACAACACCAGGCTCAGTCAGCACTGCTGCCGTCTCCACTGGAGTGGTCCCCACTGTGACAGCCACAACACTCCAGTCCACTCCTGTTTCCAAGCCTTCCTCAACAATACCCACCACCGGGACCACTGCACAAACCCCTCCAGGCCTGCTGACCACAACAACCACCCTGGCTCCCCTTGTCACCACTACGCCAGGAAGCACCACTACCGGTTGCCAACCCAAATGCCAGTGGACCTCTTGGTTCAGTTTTCACACTCCAAGCTCCGACCCTGGGGATGGCGATCGCGAGGACATTAAGAGCATCCAGGCATCGGGCGGTACCATCTGCGAGCACCCTCAAAAGGTGGAGTGCAGAGGAGTGGACTACCCAGAGCTCAGCGCATCTGAACTTGGACAGGACATGATCTGCGATATCGACACTGGACTCCTTTGTGAGAATGCCAAACAGAGAGGGAAGTACAAGATATGTTACGACTATGAGATGAGAGCACTGTGTTGCGACTACAAGCACTGTGAAACCACGCCAGCGCCACTGGTCACAACAAGTGCCACCACCACAGAAGCCCCGGGTAGCACGGTGGGCAAGAGCACGGCTCCAGCATCCTCCACGGGCTCTACGCCACCTCCTGTTGTTCACACCACCACCGAAAGCACCACCCTTGTTTCCACAACACCAGGAGTAACCACAGGAAAGCCAACAACCACAGAAACACCAGGCAGCACGGCAGGCAAGAGCACGGCTCCAGCATCCTCCACGGGCTCTACGCCACCTCCCGTTGTATTCACCACCACCGAAAGCACCACCCTTGTTCCGACAACTCCAGGAGTTACAACAAGAAAGCCAACCACCACCACCCACTCAACGCCGCTTTCCACCCTCCCTCTCACAACACCAGGCTCAGTCAGCACTGCTGCCGTCTCCACTGGAGTGGTCCCCACTGTGACAGCCACAACACTCCAGTCCACTCCTGTTTCCAAGCCTTCCTCAACAATACCCACCACCGGGACCACTGCACAAACCCCTCCAGGCCTGCTGACCACAACAACCACCCTGGCTCCCCTTGTCACCACTACGCCAGGAAGCACCACTACCGGTTGCCAACCCAAATGCCAGTGGACCTCTTGGTTCAGTTTTCACACTCCAAGCTCCGATCCTGGGGATGGCGATCGCGAGGACATTAAGAGCATCCAGGCATCGGGCGGTACCATCTGCGAGCACCCTCAAAAGGTGGAGTGCAGAGGAGTGGACTACCCAGAGCTCAGCGCATCTGAACTTGGACAGGACATGATCTGCGATATCGACACTGGACTCCTTTGTGAGAATGCCAAACAGAGAGGGAAGTACAAGATATGTTACGACTATGAGATGAGAGCACTGTGTTGCGACTACAAGCACTGTGAAACCACGCCAGCGCCACTGGTCACAACAAGTGCCACCACCACAGAAGCCCCGGGTAGCACGGTGGGCAAGAGCACGGCTCCAGCATCCTCCACGGGCTCTACGCCACCTCCTGTTGTTCACACCACCACCGAAAGCACCACCCTTGTTTCCACAACACCAGGAGTAACCACAGGAAAGCCAACAACCACAGAAACACCAGGCAGCACGGCAGGCAAGAGCACGGCTCCAGCATCCTCCACGGGCTCTACGCCACCTCCCGTTGTATTCACCACCACCGAAAGCACCACCCTTGTTCCGACAACTCCAGGAGTTACAACAAGAAAGCCAACCACCACCACCCACTCAACGCCGCTTTCCACCCTCCCTCTCACAACACCAGGCTCAGTCAGCACTGCTGCCGTCTCCACTGGAGTGGTCCCCACTGTGACAGCCACAACACTCCAGTCCACTCCTGTTTCCAAGCCTTCCTCAACAATACCCACCACCGGGACCACTGCACAAACCCCTCCAGGCCTGCTGACCACAACAACCACCCTGGCTCCCCTTGTCACCACTACGCCAGGAAGCACCACTACCGGTTGCCAACCCAAATGCCAGTGGACCTCTTGGTTCAGTTTTCACACTCCAAGCTCCGACCCTGGGGATGGCGATCGCGAGGACATTAAGAGCATCCAGGCATCGGGCGGTACCATCTGCGAGCACCCTCAAAAGGTGGAGTGCAGAGGAGTGGACTACCCAGAGCTCAGCGCATCTGAACTTGGACAGGACATGATCTGCAATATCGACACTGGACTCCTTTGTGAGAATGCCAAACAGAGAGGGAAGTACAAGATATGTTACGACTATGAGATGAGAGCACTGTGTTGCGACTACAAGCACTGTGAAACCACGCCAGCGCCACTGGTCACAACAAGTGCCACCACCACAGAAGCCCCGGGTAGCACGGTGGGCAAGAGCACGGCTCCAGCATCCTCCACGGGCTCTACGCCACCTCCTGTTGTTCACACCACCACCGAAAGCACCACCCTTGTTTCCACAACACCAGGAGTAACCACAGGAAAGCCAACAACCACAGAAACACCAGGCAGCACGGCAGGCAAGAGCACGGCTCCAGCATCCTCCACGGGCTCTACGCCACCTCCCGTTGTATTCACCACCACCGAAAGCACCACCCTTGTTCCGACAACTCCAAGAGTTACAACAAGAAAGCCAACCACCACCACCCACTCAACGCCGCTTTCCACCCTCCCTCTCACAACACCAGGCTCAGTCAGCACTGCTGCCGTCTCCACTGGAGTGGTCCCCACTGTGACAGCCACAACACTCCAGTCCACTCCTGTTTCCAAGCCTTCCTCAACAATACCCACCACCGGGACCACTGCACAAACCCCTCCAGGCCTGCTGACCACAACAACCACCCTGGCTCCCCTTGTCACCACTACGCTAGAAAGTACCTCTACTGTGTGCCTCCCAAAGTGTAACTGGACCTCCTGGTATGATTTGCACCGTCCTACCAGCAGTCCAGATGATGGCGATATTGAGAATTTTGAGACCATCCGAAAAGCTGGAGGAAATGTTTGCAAACATCCACAAGACATTGAATGCAGAGCTGAGAATCACCCTGATGTCAGCCTGTATCTGCTTGGTCAGGAAGTGCAATGTAACCTCCATGTTGGACTTTTGTGCGAAAATTCAAAGCAAACAGATAAGATGTGTTATAACTTCCAGGTTAGATACCAGTGCTGTGAATACAAGCCCTGCCATCCTAGCACAACACCACTGAGCACACCTGCTGCTTCCACCACAGAAAAACCTGGCAGCACGGCAGGCAAAAGCACAACTCCAGCATCCTCCACGGGTTCTACACCACCTCCCATTGTATTTACCACCACCCAAAGCTCCACCCTTGTTTCCACAACTCCAGGAGTAACCATAGTAAAGCCAACGACCACAGAAACACCAGGCAGCACTGCTGGCAAGAGTACAGCTCCAGCATCCTCCACAGGTTCTACGCCACCTCCCATTGTATTCACCACCACCGAAAGCACCACCCTTGTTTCTGCAACACCAGGAGTAACCACAGGAAAGCCAACAACCACAGAAACACCAGGCAGCACTGCTGGCAAGAGCACAACTCCAGCATCCTCCACAGCTTCTACACCACCTCCCATTGTAGTCACTACCACCCAAAGCACCACCCTTGTTTCCACCACTCCTGGAATTACAACAGGAAAGCCCATGACCACCATCCCTCTCTCAACCCCTGGCTCCATCAGCACATCTTCCATCACTTCTGGAGTGGCTTCCACCGTTTCAACCACATCTCTTCCATCTACCCATGTTTCCAAACCTGTGTCGACGATATCCACTACTGGCATTACTGTAGAAACAGCAACTGTCCCTACCAGAGTGCCATTTTCCACTAAGCCTTTGGTCGTTGTTACAACAGGTAATTACAGAATGAATCTGCATGGTATGAAAATCTTGTTACCTTTGGTAAACATTGCAACAGTTAAATTTATTACATGTTACTCAATTACAGGTATCATGCCAAATGTTAGCAAATTGTTTCATATTAATGGGGGCTTGGTGATCTTATTTCATATACCACCCTTTTCAAAAATTGGTATCCCAATTATGAAACCTAGTGTCTATCAGCTAGCAACTTATCAAAAATGTTTGCCTAGATCTCAGTGTGCATTTTTCAAAGAAGTTTTCAATGCTATTACAAGTAGTAGATAGCTCTCTGGCTAGATATTTGGAATTTTATTCACAGCACCTTTGGACTGGAGGGGTGTGTTTCTTGATACTGGGAGGAATATAGCTGGATTCACCTGTTTCTTGATAGTATGGTAGGTGTATAATAAGAACAGCAAGTAAGCAAAGTATTGATCTGATCCATTAAACAATTAACTGGTTTTTGTAGTACAATTATCAAGTTAAATTCTCCAGCCCTAAAGATACATGTAAGTCCGGTTGAGTTCAGTTGGAATTCTGAATTGTTATGCTTCAGTTGGTGCTTTGGAAGTGTACACTGAAGTCTTAAGTCTCTACAGTGTTCAGCATCCATTTCCAGCAGTATGTCTTCAAGCAGTACGTAACAACTGCTATACATTTATTTCTTTTCTATTGTGTCTTCAGCAGCAACAAGTACTTCCATACCTTCTACAACAGGAACTACAACAGTCACTTTGAGCAGAACAACTCCATGTTTCTGCCGTGTGCCCGGATTTAGTAAGGGCTTGTTTTCTCCTGGTGAGTTTCTCTTAATGAATTTGAAAAGCAGCTGAAGCAATGTTTTCATTCACATATTGGTTTGATTGTACATATGCTCAACATACGTCCTTCCTTATACCTACATCATGATTGTGCACCACTCTCCACAGAGGAGTCTACTTTGGTGCTCTGCTGTATAGTTTGAGGAGGAGTAGAAACCTTTTTACTTACTTTTTATATTTACATTTAAATCATTTTATTAATCCTGCTTTATCTGACTTTTTTTGTTTGTTTTTTGCAAGTTTGGGGCTGATATTTTCAATGTTTATTGAATTTATGTATCTGTCTTTTACTCTACACTGCTTTATATGTTTTAACAACAAAAGTATTAGCTGAGATCAATTCTGTAATTCTCTCATGCCATACATTCTTTGAACAGTACTGAACCACAGAGATGTCAATAGATCCATCTCTCACCTATCCCTTATCCCCTTTTACAACTGACTCATATTCATGTACATCTACTACTATCTGCCAGCCATTACTTTTAACAGGTGGCCAACATGTCCTTTTACTCCCTAGGATTTTGAGTCACAAGTTATACTTGTATATGATTTACTGGCTACGGACCAACTGGGGAAAAGGCCTTGGCTGAACCTCTTGCTGATCTCCCATGGTGGTGTGGGGTTGGAGCTTGCCCACTACAAATTACACAATCCAATGCATGCTTTCTCAGACTTGCTGCTGAGAAAGCAGGCTGAGAGTTGCACTGCATGTCAGTAGACAAATTCATCTCAACTTTATTTGCATTTTAGAATGTTATGACATGTTTTGTTTTACAATTTTCGTACATGGTGCTTTATGATAAATTCCCTCCTTTTTTAAAATAGGGGAAGTAATATACAATAGAACTGATAGTTCCGGATGCAGTTTTTATGCAGTTTGCAACAGAAGCTGTGAAATTGAGGTGTTCCAGGGACCATGCCCTTCAACAACTCCTTCCCACCCATCAACACCATCAGTTACAACTGCAGGAACCCCGCCTTCTCCGTCACCCACTACTGTTGTTCCATCAACTGGAGTATACACTACTGCAGCTGTATCAACCCCCACAACTCCTGTAACAGGTTGCCCTGATATTGATCCACCAAGAAAGGTAATTAGCATTGTTTTCATACGTACATTGGTGATAGCTTTTGATAGCTGATGAGAGGCTGTAGCCCAAAACATCAAAAGGGCTCCATGTTGGGGAAAGCTGTTGGTTACCAAATGCCTCTCTCACTCCATTTTCACCCCTCTTAAAAAGCATTAAATGAATCCCCTCTTGGTGAACGAGGTGTCTATGTTGAAAAGAAAATCCTGACTACCCCAGGGACTTTTGCCCACAATTCATGCTGTATGAACACCACTGTTTTGGGAGGTATGAGGAGCTGTCATGTGAACATGCACTTGGTCACAATCAACTCTCTTGTTTAGATCTTATTTGTGCTTTTGATCTCACTGAAAATGGATGGGGATCTTGATGTTACTGGATTCAAGGTCTCATTATCCCTGACCACTGGTGGTTGGAACTACTGGGAACTGGAATCCAACAACTTTGGGTAGGCTACAGGTTGCCTACCCCTGCCACAGAGTCATATATGGAGAAATCTCAGTCAATGCCAAATGTTCTTGTTTGCCTCACTTTTCTAAAACATAGCAAGCCGGCTTATACCAAGGCAGACTATGGGTCTATCTATCTCACTGTTGTCCTTGTTGACTGCTAATGACTCCTCAGGGTTTCATATAGGAGTCTTCCCTGGGGCTACCTGGAGTTACTAAGGATTAAACATGGGACCTGTTGCATGCATGCCATGTGCTCTACCATTGAGAAACAGCCTCTCCCCTAACACCCCATTTTCTCTCCAGATGGGTTTTCCTCTTCCAGTAGGACAAGAACCCTTGGTAGTGGAGATGGTGTCTTTCTAAGAGCATGACACTTGTAGAAATTTTTTTCTCTGGTTTCCCTCTAGACCAATGAAACTTGGATGTTTAACAACTGCACTGTGGCAACTTGTGAAGGAAACAACAAAATAGTTCTGAAGCCGCAACCACCTGTAGAGAAGACAGTATGTGTGAGTGGACTCCCACCGATAAAAATAGTAGATAAGGATGGCTGTGTCGAACGCTATGAATGTGAATGTAAGTATAACCGAGCATTCAGAAAAAGTACATATGTCTTTATGATATGAATTGAAAGGTTAAGATATTTAACTTACAGGACTGTATCATACAAAGCTCATGGGGTGTAATGTCATGCAGTTGCAATTCCATTTATTGAGGGAGGTGAGACTTTTGAGGGTCTGTCAGGGAAGGCTATGGATTTGCAGAAGCCCAAGACCTCTTGTTTCTCTAGCATACTCCTAAAAAAGTCAATGGGTGGCTTTTCTTTTTTCAGTGGAAAGGAGTAAAGGAGAAAATGCTGTGGTTCAACCAGTTCCTGCCCTGGCTGTCACTAGTCATCAGGACTCTGGCTATGGCAGTTGCTTCACCACAAAATCTGCACCATCAACACTGCTCTCCTAGAATTCTCTTATTATTCCCACTTTCTAATTGGTGCACCAGACTAGGACCTAGCCCATCAAAGTTAACACAAGCAACAGCATAATAACCAATGATTTCACAGTGTATATTTACTTTGGTTACTCTGGTTTGCTCAAGACTACACTCCAGGTGAACCTTATTTGATCTTTGATTTCTGTTACAGGTATTTGCACTGGTTGGGATGCTAACTATGTGACATTTGATGGCACTTATTACACTTTCTATGACAACTGCACTTACATCTTGGTGAAAGAGATTGTGAATATACATGGAAACCTCAGTGTTTTGCTTGACAATTATTTCTGTGATGTCACTAACAATCAGCCCTGTTCCAGAGCCATCATTGTAAATTACAACTCAATGGAAGTTGTGCTAAGCAGCGAAGTGCATGAAGGAGTGAGAATTAACAAGGTACTGTGTGCCACAGATTTCTCAAACTGTGTCAGCTTCCTACAATAATTATTTTTTACCAAAACAAAAATGTCAAAATGACATTTATAAACCAGCTAATGGGTTGTAAAATTTACATAACAATCATGGCAAAGTGCCTGTTTGAGGAATGATGCGGGTGGCGCTGTGGGTTAAAGCCTCAGTGCCTAGGACTTGCCGATCGAAAGGTCGGCAGTTCGAATCCCCACGGCGGGGTGCACTCCCGTTGCTCGGTCCCAGCGCCTGCCAACCTAGCAGTTCGAAAGCACCCCCGGGTGCAAGTAGATAAATAGGGACCGCTTACTAGCGGGAAGGTAAACGGCGTTCCGTGTGCTGCGCTGGCTCGCCAGATGCAGCTTGTCACACTGGCCACGTGACCCGGAAGTGTCTGCGGACAGCGCTGGCCCCCGGCCTATAGAGTGAGATGGGCGCACAACCCTAGAGTCTGTCAAGACTGGCCCGTATGGGCAGGGGTACCTTTACCTTTACCTTACTTAATCCCATGATGTAGATTATGTTTAGGATTGAGATGCTATTCCTCAAACTGTGCATCTCTATAATGACTACTCAGAAGAAAGCCCCCACTGAGTTTAATGCACTTTACTTCCAGTTAATGGTTATAGAATCAATGACATACACGCGCACACACACATATATATATACATGTGTGTGTGTGTATGTTTTCAGTTAAAAACTATGGCTTACTGTTTTTAATTAAATACAATAACACAGTAAAATTATCATTGCAGTAGTATAACAACAGGCAGCTAGGAAATATCAGCATGGCCAGGACTGATTGCCCTCAAGTGCTCTGGAAGACTCTGAATCCTCCAGATTTATATTCTTTTGCCTCTTTTGTGCTGCTGTTTCAGATTTTTTTCAACCATGAGCCGGTCAATGGAGATTTCACCAAATATGGTATTTCTGTCACCAGTACTGGAACTGTCATGAGTGTCGAAATCCCTGCACTCCAAGCTTTTATATCTTTCAACGGGCTCACTTTCTCAGTAAAACTCCCCTTTGACCTATTTCAGCATAACACAGAGGGGCAATGTGGTAAGTAAAGGGATCAAAACATCCCCAACCATTCAAATCCTTTTTCACAATGTTATTCCTTCAAAACAAATTTCTTTGCATAGGAAGATGTGGAGCATTAGAAAAGCAATAAAGAAAAATTAACCATTGGGGGGAGGGGCCACAGCTCCATGGCCGAACACATGTGTGTGGTGTTAGACCATCCCAGGTCCAGTTCCTGGTATCTACATCTGAAAGTTCTTGGGATGAAGAAAGAACTGCTGCCCATCAGAGTAGACCTAATTGGGCTTGGTGGACCTATGGTTTGACCAGGCTTCCTCAACCTCGGCCCTCCAGATGTTTTTGGCCTACAACTCCCATGATCCCTAGCTAGCAGGACCAGTGGTCAGGGGTGATGGGAATTGTAGTCTCAAAACATCTGGAGAGCTGAGGTTGAGGAAGCCTAGGTTTGACTAATATATCCATACTGAAGAGTAGGAAACAGAATATGCATATAAGGTACACTTTATGATAGCAACAATGGCTTTTTCAATTAGGAAGTCCGCTTCGTTATTTCAATGTCATTCAGAGTGACACTAATGTATACTGCATATTCAGCACACTTACGATGCGACCCTTTCTCCCTCCTAGGGGTATGTTCAAATGACAAGACAGATGACTGTCGCCTCCCCAACGGCCATGAAGCTTCCTCTTGCACAGAAATGGCCAGCTACTGGAAGACCTACGATAAAAACAAGCCCCATTGCTATGGAGTACCAACAACATCACCTCCGACAACAACACCGCATGAGCCAAGAACGACAACACCAGCACCAACACCCTGCACCACTCCATCTCCTCTGTGTGAGCTGATTGTGAGCGAGTAAGTTCAACAAAGCCTTTACAAATGCTTCAGCTGTTAGATCCTGCAGAGCAAGCTATCGCTTTGACGTTATTTTTTTAAAAAACCCACTTCTGATGAACACATAGGAACATAAAATCATCACCAAGACATTGTGCACATGACCTCATCTGTTCAGCTTGTGGGCAGGACATAAGCCACTGGTTGACCACAGGACTAGAAAGATAAAGCTTTGTTCTGCTCCAGCAGAGCTTTTCACCTTATATTCTTATGTTTTTATCTACTGCCAGGACATCAGAAATGTTTTCTAGGGATAGATAAAACCCTTTTCCTTTATTGTTCTTATATTTCACAGATAATAATAATAATAATAATAATAATAATAATAAATTTTCTTTGTACCCCGCCCTCCCCAGCCGGAGCCAGGCTCAGGGCGGCTAACATCATAAAACTAACACAGTATACAAAGAACATAAGATCCATCCAACAATAAGCATGGGATTGTTTTAGTATCTTCAAGGCATCTCGGCTACCTTATATACCATAAAGAGCTATAACATTGCAACACTGTAGGATTTTTACTTCCATAGTAATACAAAGCTGATCTTTCTAGAATTGATATCATTGTGAAATGTACTGTACATATTTGCTAAGAATATTATCCTTTCAGCTGCAGTTTCATACTGAAAATGGGGTGGCAAGGGGACATTGCAATATTTATGAGCCATAGTTCAACCATGTATTCTTTTGTATTTGAAGTGTCTTTGAAGAATGCCATAAGGTTCTGCCTCCCAGAATATACTATGAAGACTGCCTCCTTGAAGCCTGTCAGTCTTCCAATGATTCTGTGCCTTGCTACAATTTGGAGATATATGCTTCCCTCTGCATAGCTAAAGGGGTTTGTACTGACTGGAGGAACATGACTCTAGGAAAATGCCGTAAGTGGAAGACAACGTATTTTCGCTTATCCTAAAGTGAGCAGCAATTTATTGTAGAGCAATAATAGCTGAGTGAACCAATCAATCAACCATTCAAAACGGTGTCAGCAGATGAATAGTAATCAATGCAAACTGAACAAACTAGCATGTTCTAACTTCAGTTGCATGTTTGTTTCTCTCAGTCTTTGTCTTTTTTTCTCACAAGAATTAAGATTTCAGCTTCTGCATTTCATAGTGGGTTGAATCCAGACTTTGCTCCTGTTGAATGGAAGGGAAGTTGACTTTTGCTAATTGCTCCATCTCCCTGAAGCCCATTGCAACCTCTGAAACTGCTCCAGAGGGTAGGAGGATCCTCCAGATCAACATGGGAGGTGGCACTGCAAGAGGATGGGGGAATTGGCAAATGTTGCCTCCCTCTCTTTCCACCAACAGGTTCTCTCCACTGGATCAGAATCCATCTGTGGATGTCTGTATTGAATCCATGTTCTCAGCTATGGATATTTCCATTTGTAGGTCAGGGTTGAGCATGCACTGGGGCTTACAACAGTCCTCTGGGTATGGGTGTGCCTTGCCTTGGCAAAAGCCACTCCTTCATTCAATCTGATGCCCACCATAGATGCTTTATGTGATTTTTTTTAAAAGCTAATGGGAAAAACATAATATGACAACATGTAATACATAGTTATGCCTCATGTTGGAGTCATTCTGCTTTTTAATGACACATTTTATTCTCTTATATACAGCATACCACTGCCCCAAAGACAAGGTGTACAATGCATGTGGCCCCATTCACCCTGTCACCTGTGATGATGGGTATGTATTAACTAAATAATTAGCTCTCTGAATGTTAATGGCTGCACTTTTGTATCTTTGAATAAGAGACAATATGAAATATGTATATGACTTGCTAGAAAATGGTGAATGTATAAAGGTCATATCAAGATCTTTAGATGAAGATCTTTAATTAGTTAGTATCGTCCCAAGTATGGCAACAGTGGATAGTTGATGTGTTAATTATTAGGGGAATGTTGCATTAATTAATAGGATTTGTTTTAAAAAATGCATTCTTATCTATTTATGTGGTCATTAATTCCATGTCAATTCCTCCCCAAATAATTATGATTACCAGCTTCAGGTTTTTAACCCTGGTTAAACTGCATTCTTTGCTGGTAGATGCTTTAAACCTGCCAGAGCCTGAGCAGTTCCCACCACAGAAGTCCCTGCCTTGGTCTTTCAACTCTACTCATTTTACAAGGATGTTTTCAAGATCCAGTCAGTCCTCCAGGGCACCATAAACCTTTTCAGGTTCTCCAGGCCCTATCCCTATGGCTAATCCAGGGCATGGTAATTCTAACGTTTGGTGCTAAACCCGTCTACCCTGGAATCACATACTCGCTTGTACTCTGCACAAATTAATGAGGCAAGAGTACAAATACTGTATAGGCCACATAAATGGATTAGCATGCTTACCTGATACCATAAATCATGGTAATGTTGAATAGTTATTCTAGCTTTAACTCTCTCTATTCAGCTTGGTTACCTTAAGTTAAGGGTGTTACAAGGTGGGGTCCATCCCAAATTAAGTAAAGCAGAGCAGGTGAAAAGAGTTGAAAGCCAGGATAACTATTCCGCATTACCTTGTTCTTAGCTCAAAAAAGGGATTCTGTTTCAACCCTGATCCCATGCATAGTGCAATTGGATAGCATTGTACAGTGGTACCTCGGGTTAAGTACTTAATTCGTTCCGGAGGTCCGTTCTTAACCTGAAACCGTTCTTAACCTGAAGCACCACTTTAGCTAATGGGGTCTCCTGCTGCTGCTGCGCCACCGGAGCATGATTTCTATTCTTATCCTTAACCCGAGGTACTATTTCTGGGTTAGTGGAGTCTGTAACCTGAAGCGTATGTAACCTGAAGCGTATGTAACCCAAAGTACCACTGTAAATAAGAAAGATCCTTTCAAAGATTTCTTCCTACTAGTGTAGTGTTTAAAGCTTGAGCACAAAGGCCTGGCAGACTAGCTTTCACTGGTTTAAATTGGGGGTGGAGAAGTGACAGCCCATAGGCCAGATTCAGCCTACAGCACTTTTGACCTGAGTAGACGTGGTTCAGTGTGCGCTGTTAATCTACAACCATATGCACACTTACTTGAGAGTAAGTGTCGTTGACCTGAAAAACTTATTTCTGAGTAGACATGCAAATAATTGTGCTGACCGGATTCCCAACACACAATTCTTACTCTTAACATAAACTGTTGCAATTAACCTGTTGTCTCTTATTATGCCATCTATAGTGAATGGCTCCAGTATTTATTTACTTCTTAGGAAAGCGCCAATTTTCTTTTGCATTTAAATACTGTAATCCCTTAGAAAAATAGTGTTTTTACGAAGGTGAGCATTGAAGCTATTAAACTGTTTGATTACAGAACTGGAAATAATATTATCTGCTCTTCTTTTCCTTGCAGACCAACCAAAGATACAAGTGAGCATGTTGCTGAAGGATGCTTCTGTCCAGAGGACAAAATCCTCTTCAATACATACACGGATATCTGTGTCAAAACATGCGGTAAGTTTCTCTAATCCTGATCGGCTAATTATGTCAATTTAAACCAAAAGCAGATGCATAATTAAAGGTGTTGGAGTTCATCAGCAAATGATTGGCCCTTTACTGGCCAAATTACCAGGAAGGTCAACTCAATTCTATGTTAAACATTTGCTGGGAGATAAAATCCCACAAGTTTTAAAGACAGCAGTCAAATTTCTGTTGGTGGCTGTGACAATAAGAAGTCAGTTAACCACCTAAAGCTGGAAGGATTATTTCCAGGGGCTTACCTGAAGCTATTTGCTATTTTGTATATTTGCTAGTTTCTAGTTTCTAAGCTGCTGTTACTATGCTATGCTTGTCCTGTATGGTTTATTTCTGGTCTGTTGCCCCTTAATAAACAGCTTATGAAGATCATTAGAGGTGGTATGTGGAAGGGCAATCCTCTACTTATCTGCTCAGAGGTGTGTGCATGTGTATAATTAGGGCCTAAATAACACAAGGGTAACTTTAGCTTTTTCTAACATTTGCATGTCTTTCTGTAATTTCAAATTATGTCTGTAAACAAAAAATGAGCACCTGACCTGCAGGGGGCATGCCACAAGTGGTGAAGAATAGTAGGATGCTATGGCACCCTCAGCATCCATTTCCTTCTGTGGTTACACATAAATGCTCCGCTCCATGTGATGAAATTACATTTTAGTACTATGTGGTTAATACAGTATTGTTATGCCTGTATTTTCATTATACTGCATGGAGGTATGTTTTTAAAGAACAACCCAGGAAGAATCCTGTAAAAATTCATCATGTGGTGAAATTCTCTGTATAAACTGGTTACTTAGCTGGAAAAAGCTGCATAATAATGTTTAAAAGCAAATGGTTATGGCTACAGGAAACTTGTGTTAAAGTTAAGGCAGTTTACATGTTTATGGAATATAAGGGATCTGTATGAATTCTTATGCCTTTATTTATTTTCAGGCTGCGTGGGACCAGACGGATTGCCCAAACCAGTGAGTATTTCACTTGGAAAGATGATGCCTAGACCGTTGCCCATACAAAGGCAACATAGAGAATCATCCAGAACTGACAAGGGACTAATAATTGGCCTCACTATGACTGCAACACCCTGCACCCCTGCACATACATTCACAAGGCGGCAAACTGTTATTATTAGTGCTAAACTTCTGCTTTACCAGACAACGGCATCATTTTATATTGTAGTAGGAGTTGGAGATCATTTCAGATTTTAGGAGGGAGGGTAAAGCCATGGGGGGGGGAGAGAATTCACAATATTTTATTTTATTTAGTTTCTTGTTATTGTTATACACGTGTGTGTGTGTGTGTGTGTGTGTGTGTGTTGGAGAATAATCAAAAGAAAGCAATAGAAGTCATTGAAACTTTTCTTTGTAGCAAAAAGATTTGTAGTTTTGGTATGCATAACTGGCATGTAGATCCAGATAATTATTATCAACATGCAGAAACAGTGAGCTGGTCAGAAATATAGAAGTGCTTCTGAAGGAGAAGCAGACATAGTCTGAAATACCAGCCTCTCCTGGGCTCTATAGCTGTCAGATGGATTGTACAGCACACTTTCCAGTCCCCTTTGGACTGAGAGGTACACCAGTTGTCTCCTGAAGCCTTTGAAACATCAGATTAGACACACTAATATTAATGGGCCAAACTCAGTCATGTCCTTCACTTTCAATGGGTCTATTCTGAGTAGGACTAGCATCTAATGCAACACTTTGTGATCTCAAAGAAAGGCTTTGCATGGAAGTTATGGAAATTAAAATAGCAGCTGGTAGAGGTTGTGGTCTCCATCGTAAGTACTTTGCTTGGGTTTCAGAAGAAGACCAACAAGACTTTCAGAGGACTCAGAAGGCCATGCCTAAGGCACATATAGAACCAATGCTATATATGTGCATCTCCCTGAAACAGCCTAGAAGGAAATTTAACCTGGTTCAGCATAACTTTCTGTATCTTATAATTTAAGGAAGTCTTTTTATAGCCATTTGTGGGGTGGTGGAAACAATCCTTAAGAAGCACCTTCAAGTTGTATTGTATGGCTCTGGTCCAAAGCTTATTGCACAGTTACCGTAAGTTTGATATTACAGGAAACTTAAGATCAACTAGGTGCCCCTTCTAAAGAAAGCTTAAGGTCTAATAATTGACAAGTAAGCAGATGATGAGAGGTTTCATTGCTGCCATACAGTGTTAACTGATTTGCTTTCTTTTTCATATAGCCTGGCTCCTCATGGAAGAGCAACTGTCAAGAGTGTATTTGTGACCCATTGACTGAGAGCGTCCAGTGCAAGCCACAGACCTGTGTGTCATCGGAACCACCCAAATGTGAGAAAGAAGGGTTTGTGCCTGTCCCTGTGCTGACACCAAAAGACCCGTGCTGTCCAGAACTTCAATGCAGTACGTATTTGCATGTATTATTTATTGATAGCCAATGCCAATCAATCCAATTCTGCCCTCTGTTGATAAAACAATTTGTGCTATTATGGTTACTGTTGCTTTGGTTGAGGGGGAAACACAGACATCCAGACAGCATTACATGTTGGCAGGTAACATCAGTTGCACAATTCTATCCCAGCTTAATTATCTCTATAGTAAATAACCACACAGAGCAATCTGTAAAAAATACAAAAACCCACCCCATTTTCACTTGTCATATGGGGACTGACAGGCAGATAAAGAGTTAAATCTCTGGGTTTGGATGCTTTGCTTTGCTCACCATATAGTCAAAAGAGCTTTACTACAATTAACCTGCAATCCTACATACATTAACTTGGCAGTATGTCCTTCAACCTTAGTAGGAATTTTTGACAGAAATCTGCTTAGGACTGGAGGACTTGTCAGAAACAGGAGATTTGCTAGTCTCCTTTCCCTCCTTTACAATATGATCTGAAGGCAAGCTAAGTCAATTCTGAAATGTATTTATTTATTTAATGCATTTTTAGTCCACCTGTTAGCCAGAAAAAGGCTTGCAGCAAAACTTACAATGATCAGTAATAAGACAGTCCCTGCCCTAGGTCTTGACATATAACAGACCTGGCATGAGAGGGAAAGGAAGCGATGGGCGGGGGGGGGGGGAGGCATACTCAGACCTTGGATCTTACTGTTCTTTTTAGCCTGGAGGGGTGAAACAAGCTTATTGTGGATGGTGGGTGGGTGGGGATTGGATAGGTCTCCCACTTGCCACGATGGCCGGCTTGGGAGGCAAGGGGAGTAAACTCCTAGCAGCTTTTAATGCCCTGGAGTATGCTGTCCTTCAGCTCTACAATACTAGTGTGTGACGTGTTGGGCGGTGAGTGTATGTGTCAAACCTCCTTCAGCTATTTTTTCTCTGGCTGATGGAGGGGGCCATGCTGGTCTTCCTCGTGCATACCTACCCCAGCCCAGTACACTCTCACCCACCAGTCATGATACTGAATAGGATTATTGTCCTAGCACCACAGGAATATTTGCTGGTCTAAACATTTAAGGCAGGGGTGCTAGACTTGCTTCTTCAGCTCTGTTGTGTTTTCTGATTATTCCACAGAATGCAATACTACTACCTGCTCCAATGAAAAGAAACCTTGTGAACTTGGATACGAGGCAACCCCAGTCCTGCTTGAAGGAGACTGCTGTGTCAGCTTTCCCTGTAGTAAGTGCTAGCATTCTGACATGTAGAGAGAGAAAGTAGATGAGAGAGATTAAAACATCAAGTTAGGCTGAACCCAGACATAATTTACGTACAGTGGAAGCATTCCACACTCCCCTCCTTAAAACAAACAAACAAAAATGTTGCCATGAAAACATTTTAGAAACTGAAGACACATTCTGGAGTGCGGCCTCAAACAGTATGAACTACACTTCAAAGCCACCTTGGACTAGTGTCAGACTAAAAGCTGGAGAAACTCATCTTCAAAACTCCACTAGGCCGCAAAGCTCATTGAGTAACTTCAGGCCAGTCACTGTGTACACAAAATACCTTTAAAGCACATTATTTCCTCCAAAAGAATTCTGGCCAGGGTAGTTTACCCCTCGCAGTTAAAATTCCTGGCAACCTTTAACAAACCACAGTGCCTAACATTCCCTGAGGGAAAGAACATGTTTCAAATGTGCTTTACAGTTTTATCTCTCACCTGAATCCATTTCACAGGATTGTTGTGATGGTAAAAGTGTGTGTGTGTGTGTGTGTGTGTGTGTGTGTGTGGTGGGAGGGACTATATACATTGCCTTAAGCAATAAATAAATACACACGCAAAGTGTTCATGTATCTCCTTTCACTTTTGCACAGAAAGGATTATATCCAACAGTCAAGTGAGCAATGAGGTATCACCTTACTCTCCTCTCCCTGCCCCCCAATCTTTTTCAAAGAGTTTCCCTGTCAGATAAGTTACCATATTTAAAGCTGGAGTCAGCAAAAGGTGGATGTAGATCTCTAGTTGATCTGCACTAGATCAGCAAGAATATCTGCCTCCCAGCTGTGAAACAATAGCAACATCAAATTGATCCCCCACCCACTTAATTTAGGCAGGTGAAATGAAGAAAGCTTGGGGGGATGAGGATCCAGGAATGGACCTTATAAACATAATTTCCCCACCATATTTTAAAGTAATTGTCTGTTTATGTTTTCAGTACCAATCCCAGATGTCTGTCTTGTCAATGGAACACTTTACAGGGTAAGAATGCGAGTTTTATGTCTATATATACTATGTACACAGATTAAAATCCTTCTTTTCTATTGTTCCCTTTTCAGTCGTAGGCAGAGACTGTAGCAGCAGCAGTAGCAGCAGCCGGACTTTGAAATTAATTTCAAGGGGTACCTGTCAAGTCAAAGCAATGCTGTTTGAGCATGCTTTTTTTATATACTGATTTTCAGACATATTTATTATACCTTTCAACTGTGCAGGTTCTCAAGAGTAGCTAAAAACAACCAAAAAGGAACGTGAAATGGCAGAACCGCCAAACAATAAGAACAGATGTTAAAACCACATAATATAAAACACCATAAGGTTCTGGGGAGATAAAAGAAGGTTATTTTGGCTTCGTACCAAAAAGACATTGAAGTCAGTGCTAGGTGAGCTTTCCTGAGGAGGGTGTTCCAGAGGAGGAAAATGGCAATGGCACCCACCTGAGAGGAGCTAGAACGGAGTTCCGGCAAGTTCCAGCTGAAAAAAATCCTTGCCTGTCACCCTCACTGGCCATTGGGCATGCTGACTGGGGCTGGTGGAAGTTGGAGCCCAACACCTAGAGGGCCACGGCTTGCACCTCCCTGCCTAAACCATGCAATGATTTGCATGTGCAAATCTTCACTGACTGCTGTGCTGTTGAGTTGGCTGCATCATCCCAAAAGCAGCCATTTTTCCAGTCACACTGCTGTTTACAAAGTATGCAGCGCTCAGGGAGACTGATGTATCCAGTAGGCCTTCATCACCAGCATAATGTATATATGCCAGTGAGATGAACAATAACCGGTTTTATTTGGGGGTTTTGCCGTTTTTGGCCTGTGACATCTTGGAACTGCTCTCCAGAACACAGGCCTCAAAACGTGATCAGTTCCAATTTTCCCCTCAAGAAACCCTTTCAACTTTTGGCCACTAGGGGGCCAAACAAATCAACTTACTGTATCGTTTTATTGGCTTTTTCATGATTCTGACCGTTTAAAATGTTCCTTCGTAAGCCGCGTTGAGCACTCTAGTAGGTTGGGGAAGGTGCAAAATAAAATGTAAACTTTAAAGTTATGAATTTGAACTTGAGGCCATATTAGAATACTACAGAGGGTGGGGGAGGGGGACTTCCCAAGCAAGCATTTTTTGAGTAAAAGTGCAAATCATACTAAATTATTTAAACCACCTACACTTAAGTGTCCAGACAGTGAAGTTTTTAAATGGCCATTTCAAATGGACACGTGCTTCATTAACTATGGAAAATGTTTGACAATGGGCAGATACTTCTGCCAGATGAAAAGCAATTCATTGAGGCAACTCAAGCCACTGTTTTCTGCCTTCTAATAATGGGTAGTTTGGGGATGCATTTAGACAGGAGCTTAATATTAGAAATGGGTTGTTGAGATATCGCAAATGGGTCATTGGCAACATTTTTTTAACCTAGCAGAGTTTCTCTGGAAAAAGTAAATCTGAATTAAAGATGGGGGGAATACGGGTTGATATGTTGATGACAATGTCATGTGGATCCTGTGTATGGCTGTGCAATATATAAATATATCATCCAAAACTGGCTTGAAATCCATGTCATGATATTGTTTCATAATTTTTGACCTCGTAATATATCATGAATCATGATATGAGAGTGCTGCTTCACAATCATATTTTTCTTGGTTTGCATTGTGACTATATCAACATTTCCCACAGTAAACATCTCACGTGTGAAAGTCAGAACCACATTACAAAATACTCAAGGATGCATGCCAAGGAATGGCCACTGCAAGTTTAGGTTAGGGTTGCCAGATATCTAAAAGAACACCTGACCTGCTCTGGTGCAGCAGCTTGACTTTCAAAAATTAACAGCTGAAACTTTTCACAGCGTGGAAATTAGAGAGATAAGAAGGTATAATGTTCATTTCCATGCTGTGAAAAGTTTCAGCTGTTAATTTTCACATGGCTGTTAAACACAGCAGCTGAGATTGGTTAAGAAGCTGGCAACCCTATTAGACATATATTTCTTCTTACACTTTACATGTTTACTTAGGAAAATGCAAATATAATATTGGTGTAACCATGGCAAACACAGCTGCAATATAAAACAGGAAATAATACTCAGTTTAAAAATCAAGGATGTTTCCACTGAAGTATCTTGGATTCTTAGAAACGTGGCTTCAAATATTTGCTCATTTCTGAATCCACTTGGTGGCCTTGGATATGTTGCTATCATTCATCATTTTTCTGTTCCCTGATTGCTTATTTAGAATATTAATGGAGTTCTTATAAAGTGAAATAAAAGCAAGAGTTGAAAACATTTTGTATGTTAGAAATCTTTAAAAAGAATTTGATATTTGGTTCACAAAGTTGCTTTATACACTCTGTTTATAAATACAATTGCTATTCTTTGACTTTTCCCAGGCTGAAATGCCTGTTCCTAGCAAGCCATGTGAAACATGTGTCTGCAGCTCTGAAAAGGACCCAGACTCCAATACAAATCTTGTAAAATGTCAACCAGTTACATGTGATAAGGATTGCCAAGAGGTAAGCACAAAGCTTTATTTCCCCTATTACTGCTTCTTTCCCAACAGAACAATCCTAACTTATGTCTGTACACAAGTAAGTGCTATTGAATTCAGTGGGTCTTTTCCCAAGGTAAGTGGGGTTAGGATTGCAGCCTTAACCATTGCAGGTGGCTGCCTCTTCCACATGTATCATTCATGGTTAACTTTTCCTGTCTGCCAAACAGGGTTACGAGTACCAGGTAGAAGCTGGGGAGTGTTGTGGAAAGTGTGTCCAGAATGCATGCATAATCAACATGAATGAAACCACTGAGATACTACAGGTAATTATGTATTCTCACTCTTCTTCTACTTTCTTTACCCAACTGACAATGATGATTGTAGGCGTTCTCAAGCATACTTTTTGCTCATTCTTGGCCTTCTTTTCAAATTGGGACACATGAATTTAGAGAAGCAAAGTCTACACTGCATACACAAATGAACACTGAACAATCTATTTATGATGTATTGGATTTGGATGCCAGGTGATGCAAGTTCAAATGTCGTCTTGGTAATGTGGCAATATATCTCACATGCAATATCTCTCACATGCAAAGCCAAAGCCCACTTACCTGCGTCTAAGAAAAAAAAGACCAATTTCCAACAAGTGTGTTTAGGATTATAACTACAGAGTTGCTATGGAAAATGAGGGTTGGAATAAATTGTGACATGTCCTGAATCAATGAGATGTGGTTGTGGGGAGTGGCAATCTAGCTAATTTTAGCGTATATTTGGTATGCTAAAACTTGCAAACAAAACGAATAATGCTGTGTTTTATTCATGACAACAGCCTGGTGATATTTGGCCACCAGGAGGAAATAACTGCAGCTACTACGAATGTGAGCAAATGAATGATACATTCATTCTGGTCCAATCTAAAAGGAAATGTCCCATCATTCATCCAGAGGAGTGTGAATCTGTAAGTTTTCTTTTTCCCATTCTTAATTTATAATCATTTCTGCTCTAATTATGTTAAAGCTCAGACAATAAGTTCTCAAAACGTTTTTGAGTAAGAAATCATGTGCAATCACTGTCACCAGTTTTAAAATAATAAATAATACTTTACTTTAAAATAATAAACAATACTCAGACTTATCCTGGACAATGGATATAGGGACACTTGGGGGGTCTGTAAGGGCACAGTGCAAATCCAGTACTAAAAAGTTCCCACTTTTGCATGCAGCAGTAGTGTTTTGTTTTTTAAAACAACAACAACCTTCTTTTCCTGTTCTATAGCATGAACTTGAACTGACTCCTGATGGCTGCTGTGAAACATGTAAACCTAAAAGTAAGTGAAGTTTTTGCTTACCTTGTTGATTACTAGGGCATTTTACAACAAATGACTGAACAATACTGTGCCTAGGTCCAGATTAACTCTTTTTAGATTAAGAACCATCTCCTGTTATCTAACCTTCATATATTGTTTGAGATGGAGAGAAACCTCTTCTGAAACCTGCAGCTGTAGTTTGTCCTACTTATTTTTGCTGAAAGTCTTGTTTTGCACTGAGTCTTCATAAGAACATAAGATGAGTCTGTTGGATCAAGCTTATGGCCTATCTAGTCCCGCAGCCTTTTCTCACAGTAGCCAATCAGATGCCTGAGGCAAGCGGTACAGCAAGCAAGTAGCAAACTATGGTTGCTTTGAAAAACAGACCTACCTACAAGAAACTTTCTATAAATAGCATTTAGCAGAATGCTATCTATTACTAAAGACCTAAATTAAGCCTACTCTTTGATGCCATATGTCTATATGCCTCTTTTGTTCTGTAGCTCATCTGTAGCCAGAGGTAGAAATCCACATCAGTGAAAATTATGACATATTTATTGATTTCCTCCCCCCACACACCTCTTTCTTTCAGCAAATGACTGCAAGGTTCACAAGAACCAAACTCTTATACGTCAGAGTGAATGCCTATCTTCTGAAGTTGTGGAACTGACCTACTGTGAAGGGGCTTGTCCAAGCTCTTCAAAGTAAGTGACAAAAAAGTCCTATCCATTTATCCACTTCATTTTGGGATATTCAAATCATACCAAGCAGAAAATTACAAAGGTCCTCACAGTGAATTTCATATGCATTTTGAAGCAGGAGCACTCTCAGCTCTTGTATGTGAATACACCAGTACACTGATTACATTCTGTCATTATGACAATGTACACAGAACCCTAGTTTGTTAAGGGTGCTGGAAATAGCTCTGGGAGGAGAATATACCGTAAACCAACCCCAGGATTGTTTTTTGGGATGAAAATTTGCTTTAAATGTATGGTGTGTATGTAGCATCTATCAGTACCATTATTTCCCTTCAGCTTGCTGCTTGGGCTCTCAAAATTGCATTGTGTCCCTAATATAAAAAACCAGGGGAGAAATCCAGTGTCACAGCAGTGGATGCAACAGGACTTCCCCTTCCTCTCGTCCTGCCTGTGCCCCCTCAAAATCTATCCATGTGGCAGAACTAGAGAAACGTTGGTGTGTTCCTACAGGAATATTGGAGGGGCAATCCCAATCCATAACACACTTTTATTTCCCCAGATCTGTTTCCCTTCTCATTTTCTGGTTTGGAAGTAGAACTTGAATCATGCGAAAGGAAAGTGTTTTATGTAGACGTAGCCTTTTGCATCCCCACTCCTCCACTCCTCATGTTGCTTTGGTTGCTCCCTTGATTTGGTAGCATGTTGAGGACCAAATTGCTCATGAAACAAAAACTATAAATAGAAGCTTTGAAAGCAAATACACCTAAGCCTGTTTTGATAGGCAAAAACCTCCTGCTCTTAAAGCCAATCATTGGGATTTGGTAAATCTAAGCTGGAATAGTGAGATCTAGCAGTCAGCCTAGACTGCTAAATGTGGTAGAGTCACATTTTCAGGAAAACTTCTAATCTAATATATTTCACTTGGACAGGTATTCCAGTGAGGCAAATGCAATGCAACGTGAGTGTACCTGCTGCCAGGAGCTCAAGAGCCATAGGAGAAAGGTGACCTTGACATGCCAGGATGGCAAAATCATTGACTATGACTACATCTACGTGGACGAATGTCAGTGCATGACTGCGTGCATTCCACAATCCAAAATTTAGTTAAGGGAAGAGGAAAAGTAGTGACTTTGCATTCATCACAGGAAAAAGAACCCAACATGTTCCAAAGCAGCTAAAACCAGTCGCCATCTAAATGCTACTTCATGTCTCTCAATATGTCCCTGAAAAGGTCAATAGTAGCCTTTTTTCTTGGTCAGCTGCCTAACCAAATTAATGTTCTATTTCCTGCATGATCATTTTTGGTCATTTTGGCTAGCTATTTACAAAAACAAGTGCATTTAGAAAAGCTTCCAAGGACCCCTATAAATATAATAAAATGATGATAGAAATGTATAACATTGTACTGTAAACTAAACTTCTGCTTCAAATTTTCTCTGCAATGCTGTTTATTTTTGGCAACTATCTTTTAAATTACTGAGCAACCTTTGCTACAGAAGGAGTGTTTTGTATAGTGTCAGCAGGCATGAGATTTTGACAAAGATAAAGCTGCTTTCCTTTTTACTCTTGTTTCTTAAGATTAATAAAAAATTTAAGCATGTTTCAACTTTGACATCTGCCGATTTCATTCACTGGGCATTGACATCCCTTAAGTCACATCACACAGGGCTATGATTCTGTTGTTTGGGACACCAAAAAGGATGGGGCCCAGCTGTAGTCTCTCAGGATGCTTTTGGGCTTTGTATGGATGTTTCTTCTACCCAATTGCAAAGTGCAAAGCAATAGCTAAATCTTATTTATTATTACATTACAATGTTGTTTTACAATTGTTTTTATGCCATTTTTTTCTCGAGCCATCCTGGGCCCCCTTTGCGGAAGAAGGGCAGGTTATAAAACTGAAATAATAAATGATTAATGATTGGGATTTTTATACCATCAGTTCAATCCTATTTCATTCAAAGTAAGAAATTTATCATTTCAGTAAATTCAGTATATACACCAAATTCGGTACAGACCATCCTCAAACCTTCCTCTCCTATGCTACCGAGCTTCAAACCAATCTCTTGAGCTGTTTTCTAAACATAAGCCACAGAACCTCCAATCTCCCTACCCTGCATTTGTCATTTTAATGGTGGAATGTGATTCGGCTGATTCATTCTACTTAATGCTCTTCAGGTCAAATGTAAAAGCCTTTGGTGAAACCTATTTTTAACAACTCTAAAGCATTGCTGAGCCCTGCAACATAGGGAAAGACACTCTGTAGAGCAGGGGTCGGCAAGGTTTACCTCGCTTGGGCCGGTTTACTTCAGCAGAGATCCCTCCGTGGGCCGGATCGTGAGTGCATGCACCTGCATTTTGCAGCGTCTGCACAGACGCGATTTTCGGAGCCGCAAAAGCGAGTCCCCGCACTGTGCTGTGCTACTTTAGCACAGCGTACGGGGACTTGCCAAGCAGGCGGCTTGGTTCAGGGGCGGCTCGTGGGCCGGTTAAACGACCCCCATAGGCCGCTTGTAGCCCATGGGCCTTAGGTTGCCGACCCCTGCTGTAGAGCAAGGAAACACTGTCCTCTCTCTACCAGCATGTTATTCTTCACACTGGATTGCAGCCTTTAACAGATTCAGCTTGCTGTTCCCCTGCTGTTAAAAGCAGTAGAATGTAGAGCAGGGGCAGTCCATCCTGTTTTGCTGCCTAAGGCACCCCCCCTTTCGCTGAAGCTCAGTGAGAGTGGAGATATTACGCAAGGCCTTGCCATTCATCTTCCCTGCACTTCTTGCACCGCCTGTGAAGAGTGCAGCCACTGTCGCCTGCTGCTCTCCTATCTCCTATGTTTAACCTCAACTTCTGCACATCAGGGTTTCCCTGGTCCGCCTCCAGTTGCCTCAGGCGGCAGTGGTGTGAAGGAGGGAGTGCAACTCGCCTCCCTTGTGGCTGCTGAAAAACTAAAAAGGGAAATGCCTTTTCACAGCCACTGCAGCCATCAAGTGACAAGGAGGAGGAAACTAGCACTGGCAGAAGGAAGGCCTGGAAGAGGCAGAACCATGCACAGCAACAGCAAAAAAAGTGCTGGGGAAGCAGCAGCAGCATTTTCTGTTTTGCCTCAGGTGGCAAAATGTCTTTGTCCACTCCTGCCTTCTGGATTCAATGTTTCAGGGTTTTTCTGATCCATGGGAAAGTGTCAAATACATTCAAAACTGAAGGTATGGAACTCACAAGGAAATGTTTTTTATACTCTGTTCCATACTGCAGCAACCATCCACCTAGCACTGACTACATGTTCACAGAGAATTTAAAAGCAATATCCACTTCATTAGTCAACAAAAAAAATCTCAGTGGTGTGCCAACTTCTAGAGTGAGTGAAATGCTTTAGGTTAGAAGAAGACAAGATGGAAACTCCATTCTATAGTTTTTAACAGTCTTAAGAGGACAGAGAATTATGGACTTAAAATACAATTCTAAGAATTTTTACTCGGGAATAATTCCAACTAAACTGAATTTAATTTGCTTCCTAATGACACGTGTACATAGGGCTACAGCCTCAATGGGGTTAGATTGTGCTTGATGCATTGGCCATATGCTTTGTTCAGTTTCCTGGATAGGGAATGGCCAGAATTATACGATAGGAGTAAAGACCGATGGAGACTCGAGAGTTGCATATTAATGTGCAGCATCTCATGCACTTTTTAAAGAACAATGGAAAGCCTTCCAAAAGCAGAGAAAGCCCAAATCGGGTATTATTTCATATTCACAGTAAAGATATTCTGATCCACTTTCTCTTTTAACCAATGGTACAAAATCAGCATTCTTCCTGAAAGCCTCAAAGCAACAAAAGTTGCTATGTTCTACATCCTGTATCTCTGAATCGAAGGGTGTTTTTATGGAGATCCAGACACACTGGAGCCCTTGTGGCCATGTTGTTCGCTTACAGCCAACTGTGCTGCAATGCTATATTAATTAAGTTCTCCCCATTTTCTCAGCTGGTGTAACGATTATATTCAGTGAGTGGTGGTGACAGCAGCAAGCCTTCAATCTGAAAGCACAATTCTGGTGCCTTTGACTGAGCTAATTGGTTATGATGTTCATTTAATATAAGGAAAACATGAGGATTCATGTTTCCTTGCCTAGCTTATAATGAAACATGCAGGCCTCGAAAATGACATCTAGATTACATTACAGGAGGCGATGCCCTGAGGTCAACAACAAGGAACACGGCTCTTTTGCCTCCATGCTGAGCAACACTGCTGAAACTCTTAAGTGCCACATAAAACAATCTCCTACTTCTTTTGAAGTAAAACACACCCATGAGAGATAATGGGAACCTTTTTGAGTTCATTTTCTGCATTTTGAAATTATTTTCATCAAAGAATTAGAAAAACATTAACACAGAACTTAATACTTAATCCAACTGGCTTATTTTTTATTTTTTAAAAAGAAGCTGCAAGAGTCATTAAGATGTCAAAGACCAGGGCCATAGCTAGGGCGTGGCGAGGTGGGCCCCTGCCAGGGGTGAAGGTGTTTGGGGGGCGCAAAAATATGTCCATAAATATAAATATTGATTATTGCCTCTTAAGAAATGGTTTTAAATAGAGGGTGACTTGAATGGGTGGAGGGGTGTGTGGAGGAGAGGCGGAAGAGCTAACTTGTCCATGGCTAAGGGGCGCAATCTGAAGGGTTCTGCCAGGGCGCAAGATCACCTATGGCTCTGCAAAAGACTTCCAAGTTAGTAATTATGCTTCAAGGCATAATCAGATTTATCACTTCAGTTACCAAAAACATTCACTCACCTCATCAAGAATATTCACTGAGAACTTTTTCCTTTTAGTTTCAACCTATGGCACCCTAGGCTATTATTATTTTTCCTGTGTAGAAATTGTTTCAATTCAATTTACAGCAGAGGAATATCGCGTAACATGAAGGAAAACATTACCATTTTGGAATGTAGTAGATGACTGGGGGGGGGGAAAGCTTAGGAAGAGTCCTGCTGGATTACACCAAAGGCCTTTACAGTCCTGAATCCTGTTTTCCACAGAGCCCATACAAATGCCCTTGAGAAGTTAGTCACCACACTGCTCACCCCTACTAACTCTATATTGTTTATAAGCCTATTACCAAAGCAAAGATCCCAATACTGATCCTTGGGGAGCTCTACTTTCCACATCCCTATAGTTAGAGATCAATTTATTTCCAAAACTTTGAATACTGCTACTTAAAACAATTCCTGATCCATAACAGAACCTCTTCTGTTATTTCCAGATTCTGTGCTGAATTCTGTCCATTCAATTTTCCCCCTTCTCATTTTTGGAACTTGTTATTGAAGGAAAAACAAGTCACTATTGATTACCTAAAAGTAAAAAAAAAATGGAAGTATAATGGACTCCCTTCAGAAAGTAGCTCCTTTCCTCTTCCTCCTCACCATATTATTTTGCTTCAAAAGATGGCAAACTCTTCTGGCCCAGAGAATACCAGAAAGCCATTTAAGCATCATTTGCATTGTGCCACTATTAATCTTGACAGGATATTGTATCATTTACTGGAACCACTTCAGGCTTGATTAGAGCAAAACAATATGCTTTGGGAGACTAGCACATGAGGGAGGGGAGATATAATTTTCTTCCCATGTAGCGAGCTTGTAATCACTACAGTGGTGCCCCGCAAGACAAACGCCTCGCAAGACGGAAAACCCGCTAGACGAAAGGGTTTTCCGTTTTGGAGGCGCTTCGCAAAACGAATTTCCCTATGGGCTTCCTTCGCAAGACGAAAGCCCATAGGGAAATCTCTGGGACAGCGGGGAAGCGCAGCGCGTCTTCCCCACTGTCCTGGGACCTCCTCCGAAGGCTGGCGGCGGGGGGGGACACCTCCTCCCGCCGCCCGGCTTCGGAAGGCTGCTCCGAAGCCGGGCGGTGGGGCGGGGACACCTCCTCTCGCCGCCCGGCTTCGGAAGGCTGCTCCGAAGCCGGGCGGCGGGGGGGGGGGGGAACACCTCCTCCCGCCGCCCGGCTTCGGAAGGCTGCTCCGAAGCCGGGCGGCGGGGGCGGGGGAACACCTCCTCCTGCCGCCCGGCTTCGGAAGGATGCTCCGAAGCCGGGCGGTGGGGCGGGGACACCGCCTCCCGCCCCCGGCTTCGGAAGGCTGTCCTGAAGACTTGGGGTGGGAGAAGGGTTTTCCTTCCCACCGCCAACATTCAGAATGCTGTTCTGAATGTTGGCGGTGGGGAGGAAAAACCCTCCTCCCATGCAAGCCCCGGGAACAGAGGAAAAGCGCTGCGCGCCTTCCCCTCTGTTCCCGTACCTGTCCTGAAGGCTTGCGGTGGGGAGAAAAGCCCTTCTCCGCACCGCCAGCCTGGCAAGCGGTTTCCATAGGAACGCATTAATTGATTTTCAATGCATTCCTATGGGAAACCGTGCTTCGCAAGACGAAAAACTCGCAAGAAGAAAAAACTTGCGGAACGAATTAATTTCGTCTTGCGAGGCACCACTGTACCAAGGAAGCTCTATAGAGCTCTTAGATTATAATGTGGCATAGGTAGTTTCAAATATTTTACCATCATGAAGCTCTGCTAAGAGCCATCTACACAACTCAATTAAACGGAATTACTAATGTAATTAC